AGCAAAGATAAAGATAAAATGTTTTGGTGGCATGGTCAGATAATACTACCTCAAAGAAACAGAAGATTTCTCTTGTTTGTTTAAGGGTCTGCATAAACATAGTTGGCATACAATATGGTTGCAAGTGTGTCAAGGCTTGAAATAACTCTAGAAATTGCGTCGGACATTTGAAATTTTGTACCAGACATATAATATGCAATGTTGATATCCCATTCAAAAATTGCATGTAAATACTGTAGTTACGACTGAAATTTGCTGTTTTCTCACCTGCACTATAGAGTTTACAACTAGCTAAGAATAGTTTATTTCATTCAATATATTTCCGATGCCTTTTGTAATGGTATTGATAAAGCCATAAAAATATATGTAATTGATTTAAATCATATCTTGTTGAAAAATTCTTGGACCAGAAAAAAGCCATTGGAAATAATGACTTATTTTGTTAGACAAGAAAAGATGTCTATTTACATCAGCCAATGGATTTCTTACTTTCTCATTTTTTTTTTCTACTTTTGGTTTTGAGAATACTAATCAAAACATCCGGCAGTGTTTTTTTTCCAATGGTGCCTGATAAATTCCTATGGCTCAGAGTATATCTTTGTATCAGATTCTTAAATAATATTTGTAATAAAAGTATTAGAGCGTGATTTTAAATGAAAACTATAATCTACAGTATCATATGAAAGATGATCTATTGTTTGATTAAAATAATTATTGAATTAAGATTATTAAAAAAATTGGACAAACGACTTAAACTAATTGTGTCACTAATCAATTTTTTAGTTACTGGATTATCCACACCTTCCTAGTCTTCTCTAAGTTTCAGTAATCTGGATGATCTAGACTATGTTATTGTCTTTCTGTACTTTTTGCGTCCCAGGGTGAGAAATGACATTCCTTTGTGTGAAAAGGGACACAACCTTGACTTCAGTTAGCAATTTTAATGATTAGAAACGCTGATAATTCACGTTCTTTCCAAGAAGAAAATAATATTTTCATATATTTGGTACCGGACAAAAATGTCTCAAACTAGATTGAACCGGACATATGCCGAAATTGTACTGGACAATGTCCGTTTCAGGACGTTAATTTCAAGCCTTGAAGTGTGTTCTTGATCTTATTAAGCAAAAAAAAAGTCATTTGCAATGAAAAGCAATAAGAGTGACATCAAGAAGACTTATCTTGTTGCCCATGACACACAAGATTTGGGATACAAAATCAAAGGCAAAATGTAAACTAACTAATTGTTTTAGATTCTTGCCTATTTTTTGTTGTCTTGTATCTGTTATTGTCTTAGTTTTGAATACTATAAAAAGCAGTGGTGTTGAAATGAAAGTAAATTTCTTCCAGAAAATCCACATAATAAAAAGTAATCGTGATGAATTATTAATGGAGATGGAAAGTTTAAATGTTCAACTCAAAGAAGAACAAAATAAAGTGCTAACATTACAGAACCAAATCAGAAACTTTAGTGCTAAAGAAAGAAAAATATTTGAAGTAAGTTGTGAAAAAACAATGTGTTACACAGAAAATTACATTATATCTTCATAAATATGGTCTAAGACCCTACAAATTCTTTTGTAATTATTAACAGTATTGAGCACTTGATATACTTTGAACACAATGATAGTTGAATATTTAAATTAATATTTTAGAGTGAAGAAAAAGTGAAAGCAGCTGAGAGAGAAAATGAAATATTGAAAGAAGCCAATGAAAAACTTGTATCAAGGTATGCTAAGAAATGTTATTATTAGATCTGTCTTATCATACTATGAGACTGATTTCAAATTATTGTATGTAATGTTTTTTTCTATCATATTTTTGAGATGCAATGTTAGTAAATACATGTTATTATTATTTCATCATCTTATTCTATATTTTATGTCTACAGTGCCTTTGATTTAGAGAGAGAAAGAGAGTGGCGACAGAGAGAACAAGCATTGAAAGTATATATTGCTCAGTTAGAAGCTACAATAAAGGCTGATCTAGGTGAAAAAGGAAGTATTATAGATAAATACAGTTATGAAAGAGGTATGCTTCTATGTGATTTCTTTTTTTGATGTTTTTCAGCTTGAAGTAAGATCTTCTGAAGGTGATCTTCAATTACTACAAGTATAAGAATCAATTACAGTAATTCTGGTATTATTCTATAAAGAAAGAAATAGGCAAGATAACTTGTATAACCATTTATCTGTTCATAGACATCTATTTAGACTTTAAGACATCTAGTTAAATGTTACAAGGAAAAATATTTGAAATTAAAGAACGTCTCATGTGTACGGATAAAAATATCATTTACCTAATTTTGTGTAAAAAATGTGACAAACAATATGTCGGCGAAACCCAGAACGCGTTGCGAACTCGATTTAGCAGCCATCGCTTTGATATAATTCATAGCAAAAATAGACCAATTTCTCATCATTTTAATTTACCTGACCATTCCATTGAAGACCTTCTTATCATGGCTATTGAATCAATTCCTGACTCTGATCTTGTCAAACCAAAAACCAAACGATTACAGAGAGAAAGCTACTGGATGGACCAACTCCAAACAGTGGCTCCAAATGGACTTAATATCCAGCATGATAATCAAATGATTCCATTTGTTGCCACCTTTAATCATACAGCTGCCAAAACCTCATCCATCGTCAAACAGTATTACAGTGAATTACAGAACAGATTTCCGAACGTATATACCAAACGACTTGTAATTGCCGATAAGCGCAATAAAAACCTTAGTAATTTTCTGGTCCGTGGTAGACTCGATCCCATTGAATCCAATAATACTTGACCCCCCTCTCTATTTTCTAGCTCATTAAGTATAATATATTCTAATCCTTATATATAGATGTTTATCTTTTCAGAACCTATTCATACTCTTTTCTTTTAGAACTGGTAACAAGAAAACTTTCATATTATAGACTTTTGTTTATTGTAGATTACTCGTGGTTGTTTTTTTTAACTTAATACTAACTATGCTAACTTCACCTTATCTTGTATTGAACATTTATCTCTTTATTTGATACCTTGGCCAGTGCTTTACATAGAAGTTTTTAGGAACTTCTTCACTCTTAACACTAGCCTAATTTAATAAATTTATCTGATATGTCTCTATGATGTATGTTACAGATTCTAAAGAGAAACTAGAAAGTGAACTACGAGAATCTCAGATTAATTATTATCAAGTTAAAGAACAATTTGATGATTTACAAGAGAAGATGAAATTTTTTACCAGAGTAAGTTTGTAGTCCACAATTTTTTTTTTCTCCCCAGTTTTCTGTTTGTTTTCATCTTAAAGGCTAGCACACACAAGAGCTGAGCAAAATTTCATTCGTGTCTCCCAGCTCAGCTTGCAGCTTTCGTCAGTTTTCCCCGCACACGCTAAGGTTAGAGCTTTCGTAAACGGGGTGTCGAGTCATAGACGTCTAAAAATAACTAGATCATGTGACATTCTCGCCTGACTTAAATTTTACTTCTTCTTTATGTCGTACAGGCACGGATATTCCGGCCATATGTCCACCAACTTGTCTTCGATAATTGCTTCAGATACAAACTCGCATTCGCCGATGGGCGCAGCCATTTTTGTTTGATCACGTGCTAGTGCATGTGCCCCAGTTCAAAGTTGAAAGCTAAGAGCTTTCGAGTGCCCACCCGGTAAGGTATTTTTCATTCGAGGAAAAAATTATCGAACACGACAGATAATTTCCTTAACGCCTCGAATGAAAAAAACATACGTAAACTGCGCACACAAGAGAGCTACGAGCTGAGCTGAGAGGCACGAATGAAATTTTGCTCAGCTGGTAGTTCTTGTGTGCGCTAGTCTTAATATTAGAGAAGTTTCAGCATGTAGGAGCTTTCTAAAGTTTTAAAGGAATGAAATGAATTAGATTGTTAGTGATGTTTGGTTTCAGATGTTAAAAAATGGTGCAATAAAAATATATAAGGACTATGGCTGTTTTGTGCCAAAGAATTTGCTCATTTAATGAGCAAATGAACCATAACACAAATATTCTTAAGATGGTCACATGAAATGGATATTTGGTTAAAATTATTTGCCTGAAATCCTGGTAGAAATTGAATTGATCTTTTCAAATTAAAAATCAGAGTCTAAAAGTTATTTGAAGTTCTATAAATTTATTTTGAAGGAAAGTGCAGTAGATTTCAGTGAAATTGAAGAAGCCTTAGTTCTAATAAAACAGCGTAAACAGAAAAATATTAAACAACCTGATTTCTTACAACAAGTAGATGATGAGAAAGATAAAGGTTTGTGTGTTTATTTTTATTAATGAATTTAAACTTCCACCAACAATTTTCATGAGGATATCTTACCATGATTACAGAATTTTTATTATTATTTTTATTTTTAATGAAAGTGATATATTTCAGACTATAAAAAGAATCTGTTAGAATTACAAGCAGAATATGCTGAAACTGTACATGAACTAGAGAAAACTAGGAATATGTTAGTTGTACAACATAAGATCAATAAAGATTATCAACAAGAAGTAGATTCATTTAATCAGAAAATGGATGAATTTAAGAAGGAATATGAAATGAAATTAGAAGAATATGCCAGATTATTGGATATCAGAGCTGCCAGAATAAGGGTAAGGTTGTTTATATGGTTTATTTCTCATATTAAATTTAACCTTTGACTCGTTTTGGAATACTTTCATATGACAATCATGGTTAGTTATTTTGAAGTGAGAAATACATCAGTGTAGTTGATGATAAAGGACTAGATTGTCTTATAGAAATATTGTATTATGGATTGTTTTCAGAACAAGAACACTATGTATAATGTTTTATTTGTAAACCACTACTCCAGCAATCAGTTTTTATTCAGAATGTCATAATATACTGAACTTGTCACACATTGTATGTTGTTAACAAACATGTTGTTAAACAATGACCAACTTATCTAATGGCCCTCACCTGTACATCAGGTCATGTCTAAGATAAATGATGTATTATTTTGACAATTATAGAAAATGGAGAACCAAATGAAGGATGTAGCTTATGGAACAAGACAATATAAAATACAAGTTGGAGATGATGATGTAAGATTCAAATTCAAATGAAATTAAGATTATTGTGTTATTGAACATTGAAACAAATATGATTCAGTCAATTTTAAACAACTCTTATTGCTATATTAAATGAATATTTTACAACAGAAAGTTTTTGCTAATATACTTTTATAAACTTTATATATTTTGATTTGCAGGCAGAATCAACTATGGATTTTGATGAGACAGTGGCTTTAGAAAGAGGACAGAATTTGTTTGAAATTCATGTTCATAAGGTAAGTTGTTACAGGAGTTCTCTATTATTCTATTAATTTTATGTTAATACCCATTGCTTACAATCTGAATGTCTATGGTCCCAGCATTTATAAACAGTATAAGTAAAAGATTTCCAAACTTTATTTTCATTCTAGTTGAACCTGTCTCAGGAAGCTTTGAAAATTATTGGTGATGAAGAACCATCCACCTTCTGTACATGGGAATTCTTTGAGTTTGAAACTCAGTCAACACCAGTTTGTAGAGGTCCAAGGTTAGTTTCATCTCCACTGATATAAAAATTTAACTGTTCTCAACTTTCTTTTATGTTGTGTTTATTGTCATAATTCATATATGTTGGACTATTCTTGGTCATTGAGAGCCATAAATATATTTAAAAATAAATTCAAAATTTTAATTTTGAAAAAATTGTGTCTGTACCACTGAGCACCTGCATTTTTTCTGAGAAAAATTATTTTGCTAGTGATCTAAGGGTTTTAAGCCATTATAAACTTATTAATTTATATTAATTTCAGACCTGTTTTTGATTTTACATCACAGTATGTTGTTAAAGTAGATGATTTCTTTTTACATTATCTTCAAAAGGTAAGCATAAAAGAAAGTTCATATTTCACAAGGATAGCAACTTTTATTGGTTCTTAGCATTGGTCACTTTTGAACCAAATATCACAGTAGTAGTATCTCCAAATAATATCAATGGACATGTGGAGAAAAGACAACTTATTTGAGGTCCTCAGATTTTCAATAGATATGTGATCAAATTATATGGATGTAGCTAAAGTTGATGATAGTAAATTGAGTTTACTTAGAACATTCACAATTGTTTTGTAGGAAACTTGTACACTAGAATTACATCAATCATTTGGACAAGATTTCCGTACTATCTCAGCCTGTCAATTGATGTTTAAAGATATATTTGATAAACCACATGGTAGAATTCATGGTGTGGCTTCATTAACAGGTTTGATTAGATCTTTTATAACCTTACATCAGTGCAAATTTTGGTTGAATAGGTACGAATACTGAGACTGGAAACCTCAGTTAGGTTGGAAATTAATATATCTACCGGTATTTTTGCTCAGGAACAATGGACACATTGAAGCATAAAACTAATAATAGATTATTATAAAGAGCTGTTGTAATGTTATAGTTTTAACAGTATTTTTAATAATGAGTTGATTATTGTTTAAAAAGGTATAGAAGATGGTGAAAATCGTGGTATTGGTTATGGAACTGTTGAATATTGGATCAGATTGAGAGTACCTATGGAACAAGCTCTTAGACTCTATAAGGTACACTGGCTTTTCTATCTTTCAATGTTCTGGGCCTTTTGACAATCTGTTAAAGTTTATTTCTGTACGAAAATTATTGAATATTGTAGTGTCTTCCAGGTGAGAAAATCTCTGTCAAATGTACAACCAAAAATGTACTGAAATTTCTTTTACTTAATGACATGAGTAGATAATATTTCATTTAACTTATTATTTAACTACATACTCTAGGAAAGAACCAAAGCTCTAGGTTATATAACACAAAATGATAGAGCTACCAAAGACCAACTACAAGCTCTAGATGAAGCTGCTAGGGGAAGACCTATGGATAATGTTAATGAACTACATGTTAAGATAAGACAATGTTCTAGATTGAAATCCAGAAGAAGTGGTAAGTTGAATTTCTAACACTAATGTTCTTTTCTGAAGCAATAATCATGACATGAAATTCTTCACCTATTTGCATGGAAATGAGACTATTTCATCACAGCATGAGCTTATAAATCAATCCTTAATAACGTGGAATTGTAAAAAGCCAACATAGTCTTTTGTGTTTCATTATGGGAAGAGTAAATCAATTCAATATGGCTCTCATCTCACACAGTATTTCATAAACTTAAGGTGAAGCAAATTAGGACTTCAAACTCATGTGTTTGTCCTTCAATTCATAAGAATTCTTTTCTAGGTGTACAGCCATCACCATACTGTATGTATAGTTTCTTTGATTTCGGTGATCATGATACAAAGATAATAGCTAATTCTAATCAGCCAGTATTTAATGATCACATGACTTATCCTGTACCAATGACACTTGAATTAGATCAATATTTAAGACAAGAGGTACGCTATTTAACTATTTTCATTCAATGGTTTGTTTCAAATTTTTGTGAAGTTTCTCATACACAGATTATATATCTTAAGTGAAAGTTTGATAGATAAATTGGAAACACTGTAGTTTCTTTCTCCACTAGCAATAAACAGTGATAGAACATATGTATCTAGGAGAAATGCTGCTCCATCTTTGAGCATAAGAACTTGCAACTTAAAAAAAGTTAAATCAGATAGACACTAATGTTAAGTTTTGATAATATATCAAAAATTAAATTATGGATAACTTTTGGTTTAATTTACAGCATCTTAAGATATTTGTGTTTGATGACACGGACCCAGATGAAACATCCTATATTGGTGAGGTAGATATACCCTTGTTATCATTGGCTAATGGTAAAAATATAGAGGGACCATTTGACTTGAAGAATGCTGATGGTACTAACAGTGGTATAATAGAACTAGATCTACATTGGCAGTATTCTTATTTACCACCTAAATCACCACGTAGAGTTAAATATCAGGTTAGTTATATACTTTTATTAATTCACATATCTGTTGTTGATAATTTGGTTTAAATTCATTTTATTTTAGGTGTTTTTGTCGGTCGATTTATTTAGTTTAGTGTTGCTAATGCTATTTGTTTCAATATAGATAATAGTATAGATATAGATTATGTCCTGAATTGCTGTTACCAAAACATATTTTATTTGGATTGTTTATAGTCTATGGAAGTAACAGAGGAGAAAGATGAAGCTGATCAGGTATCGCCACCAACACCCCCTAAAGTTAAATCTCGAGTTGCTGCTAAATTTACCTCCTCTACACCCATGCCTAAACAACCTGATATTAGATCAGAACCTGAAATATTTGAGAGTGAAATATCAGTAGTTAAAACTGAATCTTCAGTAAGTACAATTTTAATATAATTTCAATAACGTTAAAGTTACTTAAGACACTGTGTATCAGGACAAATTCAATTCTTTATCACTCTATTCAAATTTCCTGTTAAACATCTGTAGGTTCAGTAATTCTAGGAAAAACTCTACCAGGTTATCTTAAAAGCCATTCAAGCCAAATGGTATACCAGTTTGATATGATATTGATGTCATGATCTAGAAAATATAAACCAGATGATGATCTATGTTGTTATTATTTATAGCCAAAGCCAGTAGCTAGAAGAAGATTAGAAAGTAGTAAACCTGTACATCAATCATCACAAGATTCTATGGTAGATGACACGGTGAATCAAGTTGTATCTGGTTTTATGCCGAATAATACTTGTACGACAGAATCTGTATCATCAGTTACTATGCTACGACATACAGGTAATATCATACAATAGTTCATCTCATAAATAAATCTTACAGTTCTTTTATTTATTCCGTCTGGACACACTTGCTTATCATAATTGTCAACTACAAAGCTCAGAAGGTGGAAGCCAAAGAACATAATTTTTGTCCTATCCATTAAAATAAAGTACAGAAAAAAAGGGTTCATGAAATTCTTTGGCTTTGTCTATCATGACCGGGAACCATCTTTTTAAACAGTTACACTGGCATCAACTTTTATGAATTTGTCCAAAATCTATTAATTGCATATTTTATGATAATGAATAACTAATCAACCTTTAAAACTATTATATGTGTGTTATGGTGTCGATTTCAAATTGTAACCTATTGTCTGAGCAAAGTAAAAGGTTTTTTGATTTTTTTCTATATTTTGTAAGAGAATAGGAATATCAGCTTCAAAATAGTACTGTTAGTCTTAAAATGTCTGATAGAAGTATTATTTTTTTGTAAGTTTACAATGAAAAGAAACAGATTTGCCTCCTAGAAATTTCAAACGAAAAAAGTCACAAATTTGGACTGAAAATTGTCCTCTGTAAAACAATGTTTTGAATTTATAATGTGTGTTCATGTTTATATTTTCATCAAAGCAAAGACATTCTAAGACTAACAGTACTATTTTGAGGCTGCTATTCCTATTCTCAGAAATATAATGTAAAATATTCAAAAAACTTTTCACTTTGTTAAGACATAATACATTTTTATCCGCCCACATGGAAATGTGGACGTATATTGCCGTTGCCCGTGTCCATCGGTCCGTCAACATTTCTTGTGAACACAATAGAGACTACAGGCTTGGACAAATTCGAATTTGATAATATTTTGATGAACGATCTTTGAGTTATTGCCCTTGACTTAGGAAAAACGTGTCAAAATTTGTTTGTGAACACATTAAAGACTACAGTTTTCAATTGATTTTAATGAAACATTTTAATGATCATGTATTTTGATGAGATAATTTGATGTATTTGGGTTATTGATTGATTTTTAAAAATTTGGTGGAATTTCTCAATATAAATAAATGGCAGTAAATATATATATCATTGAATTCAAACTATTAAAATTTCTTTAATATGAAAAAATTCGTACTTTAGTCCCTAAATACTGTTTTATCACTTCTGACAGCTGCCAGTGGGCGTATGTTACCAAGCTATTTTTTTTTTATCAGTAACTGAAGAAGTTACAGTACATAAAACAGAAGCAGAAATACCAGGTAAAAAAACTAACCTATTAATATTGTCTTGTTTCACTGATATATTTTAAATACACATATGATGTGCTACTAAATTTTAGATTTTATATTAAGATTAAAGATGTGAGAATTAAATTTGAGCCAGCCCTTTGTTTGGTGGTGAAGATCGGTTGCCTGTGTGCCATAGGTACATTGGTCCATTTCGTAAAAATTCTAATAACTTATATATTTGGTACACGTACTTAATAACTATAATAAAAGGAGAACTGCAGAAAATGTCATTGTGTTATAAATTGTCAATGACATTCCCTTGCTACTTGCCAATCTATTTTTGAAAAATAATAACATATAAAGCCAGTATGGTCAATGATTGGTTGTAGAATCTGAAGAAGAAGAGGTCATAGAAGAAATATCAGATGAAATAGAAGAGGAAGAGAAAGGATCAGATAATAGATCTATGATAATTCATCCTTCTTCTCCTTCTCAATCATCTAGAAACGAGGGTATAATACTTTATACTCCATCACTGTGTGTTTTTATTAACATCACCTACAGTTTTATTTTACACCTTTTTGATTTAATTACTACAGTTTTATCTCCACCTCAGTTGGGTTCTACTTTCAGTTTTTTGCAATGCTATTTTTCAGCTTATCCCTGTTTATTAATTTATCTGTTGCAAAATTTGCAATTTTTCATGAATACTTTGAATCCCAATCGAGTCAAAACTTGATAGGATATTTATTGAATTTAGGCACATTAAAGGTTATTTAACAATCTTTTGTTTGCATATGATGGATGAAAATTTTCCTTGTCTTACCAAACTCTTACCAAGTGTACACATAATACTGTAGACCACTATCATTAGAATTTAGATTGCTAGAGAATTTCACTTTTTTTTTACTCTGTTTTTTTTCTGTACCAATGATCTTTTTTTATGCAGACAACACAAGTGTGAAGAAACCGAAACCTAAGATGAGATCTTTAAGGTTTTATGGTATGACTTGGTTAATATTGCATGATTTGATAGTTAATAATATTTGGTGATTGGAATGCCTTGTCATATTGATCTCAATATTTATAATCATGTATTATGTCATGTTAATTGTTAATTTGATAATTTTCGTCTATTAATCAAAATTTACCCTCAAACTGGGGACCAGGGCAACCATATACAATTGAAAACATTTATTTGTGCATGCAGCATCATCTCTTCCAAGATGTATTGATTGCTGTAAATAAATCAGAAAAGTAGATTTTGGAGCAGCCTCTCCCCTTAAATTGAAGTGTTGAGTCTAACTGAAGACTTTAGAATTAATTGTTCAGCATAACTGATTCAACTTATACAGCCTTTTGGAAAATGATTGGTCTTTATGTACAGATATCTCTGCAGCTATATGTTTTGTGTCAGTTTATGTTATATATTATTTGTCAGTCAACTATAGATGCATGTAGTCTATTATGAGTATAATATATTAATATATAGTTTTAACAAAAAAAAAACAAAATGTGTTATTGGATAATGTGTCAGCTCCAAAAGTATAGAATGAGTAAGATAACAGTATAGTGCATGATGCATGTGCCTATTAAATTATGAATATTCATATTATACTAATACATATTTATTGTATACAATAAAGATTCGAATTTTGGTGCAGTGGCATTTCTGGAAAACCCTCTTTCCACAAACCACCCCCCCCCCCCTTCTCCTCCTACAAGCACCACTGTTTAGGTGTCATTAATTATAAGTATGCTGTCTTTTCTATGCTTGCCTAATGCTTTGGCTTTTAACATATTTTTTTTTTGTATGTCCTCCTTAGATTTATGTACTTATATTTTTATTTTTTATTTTATATTCTAAACTTATCAATATGAAATATATTCTTCCTAAATACTTTTATCATATTATCCTTCTTATAGGGCCTCAAATAAATGAATTAACATCACTTTTACTTTATATATTATAGAGTCTCCAATGGAAGTTAAGATTAGTCCTAAAGCGAGTCCAAGGGTAGGTGTAACTATTATAAATATGAATCCTACACTGGCTTACTTCTTACTATTATACAACAATTGAACTAAATGTTGTTTATCTGTTAACAGTATCCTATCTTTGCCTCAAGTCAAGAGTATAATTAGATTTTTTATTATAGTCTGTTAGCAGTATGAAAGATACATATTTTGGAGATAAAAAGAGTGAAGATGAAGAAGGTAGGATGTCATCATTATATTTGAAGTTTAAATTATTAATGATCATGTCACAGAACCTTTAACCATTTCAGAACAGATTACTTTTAATAGGAAACAGCTGACATAGATAGGACAATAAACTGTGGTTCAAGATCCCCTGTCCTGGTTTATTTTTTTTTTAATTTCATTGCCCATCTTCATAGACCATTCCTGCATGTCTAAAAAAAACTTTTAACTCAATAAAATGTAAAATTCAACTTCATTCCATTTCATTTCTAGAATCTGTAGTTGAAGAAATAGCTATGGAAAGTGACAGACAATCTAATACATCAGTAAATAAACTAGTATCAGAATCAGAGTCTGATAGAGGTCAACGTGAGTCTGATAGTGAAGGAGTTGTTATGATTAGAACTATGACACAAAGAAGACGAGTAAAAGATGTTAAAAAGGTATTGGAATATATATATATATAAATAGTTCACCTACATTCTATAATTTTAAACCTCAATGACTTATATAATTTTTTTTATTCTAATTGAGAAAAGAGTTAGTAAATATATTGATATATCAAGTAACTTTTAACTTATAGCCTTAAGAGATCTGGGAAGCATGCTACCATTAATGACTATCATGAAACTTTTAATTGGATAGGGATTAACTAAGCAAGTGGTTTTTTTTTATATGTACCAGATGATATTTAGCCCGAAGTGTAATTTTAACCGTATTATGTATTATTTTGTATTTCAGGGTAACATAGTGACTATAGCTATATCTAATTTATCGATAGAACCTGATTCTTCCCTAGCCAAAGATGATAACATTACAAACCTATATGTTGAATATAGTTTCCTTGGTTTACCAACTAAAGAAACTGAAACACCTTATTCCTTACCAAAACCACGACCTGGCAAACAGATAGAATTTAACTTCAGTAAAAGTTAGTATTTGATATTGGATAAACCTTGAACAGTGCACTCAAATCCCAAATTGACACTTTTGAAGTTATTTTGTTTCACTAGAAAATAATTTCAGATTAAGTTGTATGATCTCTATTTTGTTATCTCATCGTAGCTATCCAGGTTGATTTAGATAAACATTATGAAAGAAGACAAGAACTAGCTGCTATGTTACTACCTAAAGCACCTGATGAGGGAAGGTTAGTAACTGTTACAGGTGTATTTAAGATATCAAAAGATGTGTGCTACAATTGATAAGAGCTCATCATAGTGTAAGATTCCTAACAAATAATTAGGTCAGGGTAGTATGAGGTAATCATGTGACCTCAAACAATTCATATTTTTTACATTTTTCTGTGACTAGATGAAAATGGGTGTATGTACACATTATCTCAGAATGATCAATGCCAGGAATTGGTTGGTAGAAATGATGATGTTTCTCATATTTATATTCCTACATTTTTGTAGAATCCGGTTTAATGTAATAAGTGAACCAGCAGAAGGTGTAGATGGAGAATGTGAGGATGTAGGTGTAGCATTTGTTAGTATACCACATATACTCAAATCAAATACTAATGTTAAAGATGAAGATGTTGACAGTAAGTTTTCACTATTTACTATTCGGTATTTACTATTCAGTATTCCCCATGGGACTGCTCACTTTTAAACAAGGTTAATGTGCTCAAATTGGTGTCTGGGATCTTACAAAGACTACAGTTCTTAATAGATTGTAGTTCCTAATGAATTCAGATAAGAAGGGGTAGTGTGATTTTTTGTACCTTTGGTGCTTGAATTAATGAAAACTATTGACCAAAATTTATGTTAATGTTTTCCTTATCTGGAATTTTGACTTAAAGTCACTTTGTTACCATTTGGTGTTGAAAGGATAATGTTTAGATTTAAGCAAAATTAAACACCAAATCGTAGAGAAAAATATTATCTCCTACTTAGTCCAAAGTTTTACTGAAAATATTGAGCTTTTAATGCTCTTAATATGAATGTTTTAAATAATGAACAATTTTTTTATACTGCACCCATTAGAAAATGAACGGAGGGAGAAATAAGATTTTAAATTTTATTTAAAGATATTTTTAAAAGGAAAATATAATTCATGTAAGGATACTTTTACTACAATTAACTGAAAATATAATTAAAGATAAGTTATAGGTTTAGTTATGGTATTATATTTTCTAGTCTATGATGTAAGAGATGAGAAGACAGTTGTTGGTTCAATGAATTTAACAGTAGATTGTTTAGCAGCATTAAAAGCTATAGACAAGGAAATGGTAGAAGGAACCTATTAATTTAGTGATGAAGACTTATTTCATATATTTTATTTTAGTATAGTTTCTTACATATGCTTATGAATTAATTTAACTTTGAGTAGCACATATAGTTCATAACACTCATCTCCTGTGAAACATTTCATTATAAAGATTTAAATAGTTTTAGCCTGTATCTTAAAATTTAGTTTTGTATTTTATAAATTCTAGAGATTTTAACAGAATCTGTGATATATTGTCTAAGTGTATATGTCCGTCCTTTATTGTATTGTCTTATAGATATTTGTTATTTATTTGTATTATGATAATAAATCCATTTAGATAATAATGTGATTATTTCCGCAACTACATATAAATACAAGATTCATAATAATTAGTACATGTAATAATAAAATGTATATGCCACATGTCTATGAACTAGAATTCGGCTAAAACTAGAGTCAAAAATCTTTTAGTTAAAGGGATATCTGTGCCGTAAACAGACTGATTAATATGGCAAATTACCATGGTTATCTTGAAAAGTAAGGAGATTTTGAGCTTGAAGGTCAATATGCAAGTTGAAGATACTGGAAATCTGGCACATATAACCAGTGGACATAAAATCAACTTAAGAATTTTCTATCGGATTAGGCTTGATAAAGAAAAAATACACAGAATTATTAAGTCTTTATTTAGCATTCATACTTTTTTTCAGATGACTCGTGATCATTTATTATTAGCCAGATTTTTACACCTCTCAGCACTTACACTTCATTCATACAGACAGATTTATGATGTACCATATAGGTTAACTTAGTAATATACCACCACCACACCATTCCATTCTCTAAAATAAACATCAAGATATATCATTTCAAAACTCTCTAGAATTCAAAGTGTTGTGTAGAAAACTCTTTCAGTAACCCATTATACAGTCTAACTTTAGTGTATGCCATCTTCATACATCAGTTAACATGTTATCTCTTGGTATCTGACCATTGATACAAAAATAATATGTGAGTTCCCAGAAATTCATGGCGATATTGCATTCAAAGGGTAAGGTGTTAAAACTTTTCATCATTCCCGTATCAACAATATTTCAAAGAATTATTTTGGAATAAAACAATTCAGTCTTAAAATGTAGTTTACCTCTTGTGCTTGTACAAAGGCTAGCCAATCTGATGTATGTGTTGGTAATAAACCCATTACATGACATTTATAAACAGCCATAGCTAAACAAAATACATTCCCCATTATAAATACTAGCTTCTGGAATGGTGCTTGATCACCTTCTATATCTTTAAAAGCTGAAAGAGAAAAATAATCATTTTTTTAATGGATTGTGTTAAAACAAAATACTCATTGGTCTACATATTTTTTAAGATAGTTTTGTGAACATAAATTCATTGTCACTTTCCAGCTTAACCCCATTACTATTATAACTTATTCTTTACATATATAGAGTGATAGGTACAGATGGAATAGGTTTTTATGAGTTTATCCTATACCTGGTATGAAAAATAAAAATTTGTTTTAGATGGGTTTTTTTTCTTATGTACTACGTCTGTGATGCATTCTAGATAAAAAAAAAAATTTCTGACAAAAAATAATATTCTTGTATCCCTGGTATATAGCCTGTGAATAAATATGGTATTCAACCAGTGGTATTTAATGGGTGGTGCCAAATGCTGAAATATTTGTGAGTAATACTCAAGACTGTGTGTGTCCTGTTAACCTCCGTTAACCTGGAAGAAATAATTAAAATCAAACGTAACAAAAACAGATTCGATAAAATCTACCGTAACATGTTCCTTTAGCAATGGTACGATGATAATGATCATCTAGCCATTGCTCTCACAATCCCATATTCTCTTTTACCATTTTCAATCATCGTCCTTTTACTCCAAATATTAAGAGATTCCCGATTGATTGGTTATATCGAATGGTGACGTATGGTCTGCCAAGGGAGGTTATTTGTCTCTTATTAAGAGAAAATGGGATTGTTCAAGCAACGGTTAGATGTGAATAATCATTGCAAATGGAACATGTTCGTAACCATAAGATAACTCTATTTATTCACATTTAATAACTTGAGATAAGGTTGTGGAATTTGTTACAATAACATTGAGAAAAGAGAACTGCTGAGGTCTAAGGGATGCAATGTCTAAATTATAACAAACTATTCACTTACTTTTTTGTAAAGCCAGAATGGCATAAATTGGTCTAATAAACATCATTCCAACCATCATTATGGGAAAGATTGATATTGAGTTACCAGCCATCCACATAATAAACATATTCATTGGCACTTGTTTTACTGGAGCTAATGCAACATCCCATGATCTCTATAAAGAAATTTAATTTAAAAAGATAGATGAAAGTCTTGTGTGGAATTAAAACTAGCTAGATGTTTCCTATTCCTATAATCTATAATGAAGATAGGATGATATACTTTTAAAAAAATGACTCGCTTACTGGACAAATGAATATTTCTGAAAGCTTATCAATATAATCATCAGTAAATTTTTTACATCATATCAATTAAGCATAGGCCTACCAAGATTGCAAAGGTTAGAAGAATAGAGCAGCATCATATTGATAGCTCTGTACAGCTATACCCTGATATGTAGAGCAGGCCCACATCATATGTAATACTTATAGATTTACCTTTACAATTAGATTTGGATCAACATCTTTTGTTCTATCAGACACACAACTTGAGTCCATTAAACCTACTGGTGATACAATTTCATTAGATGCCACTACAGATCTTGATCTGAAAACATAAGTACAGATACCTAGTAACTTTCTTAACAAGCTTCCCTGGTACGAGTAGCCTATAATACTTCATCATTTTTCATCTTTCCTTATATAACAACTACGTAAAGTGCTTTGAAAACAGTAATAAATATCATGATCCTGGCAAAACTATTTTTTTTATTTACAAACACCAGTGCAAGACATTCAATAGTGTTGTAACTTGTGTGAGTCTAGGATAGTGTGGGATTTTCAGGCCTGAGAGCTACTTAAAAAGTAGAAGTTTTCAAAACGAAGAGAAAACGACAATTTGTAGATTTAATATCAAATAACTAACCTTCCAGATCCTGAAAAATCGATAGCCCACTTGTGTTTCTTAGTTCTGGAAGCCATTTTGTTACGGTAATTTAGACTTGATTGTCATAAAAAGATTTTTCAGAATAAATTGTGTCTTGACAAACACGACTAATGACAGCGGCTTATTCTATCTCCCGAAAGAGAGTTGCTTATTTTTATTTTATTCAGACAACAGTTATCTCACTTACGCGTTTCTCTCCCTTATAATCTGCTATAGTCCACTGTGAGATATAAATTATAATATCTTCTGCATATAATTATCGACGTTACAGATATTTTCCCACGGGTTTTTGCTTTGGTCATTTCAGTCACATATTATTTTCACTACTATTTTCAAAAAGCCCGTGTTAGATCAGGTAATAGCCTAATAATAGACTGCCTACCAGGATTCAGATAATTTAATAAATCAAAATATAGTTCCTGTTGGCAATTTATTGAAATATAGAGCGCCGTAATTATTGATGAGTTGGTCGGAAACTTAAGTTTTACCTCGCAGGAGCAAGTAGAGTAAAAAAAATAGAAGTTTGGATAAGCAGAATTTCACAATTTTTAGTCAGGGCTTGTTTATTGCCAAATTCTACGGCCTAAATTTATTTCCAAAACAAATATTTTTCATAATATTAAATATTGGTAAGTTAAAGGAGAACAATCTATAAGAATAGAAAATATGGGTTTCAGACAAGTTCATGAACTGTGTCCCAATTACTAGTAATGTTCAGGGTAATTGATGTGTAACGTATGTAGGATGCTCACCCATCATGTTCATTAATTAGACAATAGCCTGGCGTTTTCCACAAAATGTTTAAATGCAATTTTGAGCAATTTATTTATGAATTAATCACTGGATATATTGATCTTCTATCTAAAAACTATTACAGATATAGTCACGAGGGTAACAGCTGTCATCGCGTGGCAGATTCATATCTGACTCGCATTTACATCTACATAGACTTACATAGTTATATTGTATGTAATATAAAGTGTACATTTGAGAATAAATTGTTCAACAATCATAGAACTATCCAGCAGGTATGATTAACATTTCTTTTTTCTGGTTTATTTTCGGAAATATTAACAGGAAAAGTTGGTGTTCGTTAACTGAAACTAAATAAATACAGCAGAAAAGCAGAAAAAGGCAATTAGGACTATATCTATAATTAAGATCTATATTCAGTAATTTCGAAGTTAATTTTAAAATAATTCTATTATACTATTTACAAGTTATTATCTGTCATTTAAATGTAATGAGAAATGTTAGTTTTGTGCCTGGTTGTGTACACGTAAAACAGCAGGGTGTGGCACAATACTATTCGAGATTCGGCCAGTTTTAAATCGACATTGGTCGTCTCAAGCCATAGTCAGTTTCCTGTCTCTGTTTTTTGTTATTATCTGCCGAGGGATCCTGAACTTGTCGTATCTAAAAAACACTTGCTGACAAACCAAGGAAAGGGAAATGAAAAGTTCAAAATATTAGGGACCTGGGATTTATAGATGGTGCCAAGAAATATATTATATCATACTATTAAAATAACATATTAGCCAATCTTGTACATTACATTTTTTCTCGTAAAAACGTTATAAAAGAATCTTTGTGTTAAAAAAAAAGTAGGAACCCATCTAAAGACTAACCATCCTGGAAAATGGCTTATATATTATTAGAATGATATGATGAGTATAAGATGACACTGTTATGATAACATAAGTATTGTAGGTTATGATGTTCTTTTAGACAGAAAATGTCATACCGGTATAATGGTATAATACATGGATTCATAAAATGCAAAAATAAAATGTGTAAGTTCTTCAAAGCAATTATAAATCCTGTATCGTGTCATCTGCATTTTTGATATTTCTTGTAGTTATGTGTATGTAAACTGTTAACGGAATATACACTGAAGTTTTAATTCGTATTTTTTCCACAAAGTATATTTAGGATCAATATCAAATTGGACATAACAAAAGAGTAAAGACAAATTTAGAAACCACAATTCTCGTTATTGTTTATTTGTACACATGCCAACTTAGAAATCATTGAAATCTGAAAAAAAGTTTTAAGAACTTTAATTGTGTCAGAAGCTAACATTCTGTTCCGGCTTATTGATTAGTATTTTAACTGCAGTAGTCTAAACAGCTATATATATCATACTTGTAACACCTGTTACGACAATTAATAATATAGGTCTTATCAACTCCAGTAGACATACTTTATATGGTAGTGACTTCAGATACAACTGCATTACATGTAGTTGATTTGGAATGTGATGGGAGGATTCTCATTGCTCAAGAAAATCAATCTTCTTTACATATAGCTCCAGTTAGTTCTTGGAGCCGCGTTGGCTCATTGAGTTGACGTCTCCCCGCTAATCTGAAGGTCCAGGGTTCAATACCGGCATAGGTCGAGATGATACCTCCGGATTTTTCAAACCGATTTCCCCCTTTCAGTGATGCAAGGAGGGGCTGGCATGGAAAAAGCGTCCAGGAGTTCAGATGGGACAATAAACCGAGGCCCATGTGTAGGCCTAACAGGCTGTGCACGATCGCTCAACAGGTGGAAATAGAAAAAGAGTAGGCTAATGCCACTGGCCTGGCAAAAGTTCCCTCATTGTACCTTACATGGCATTACCCGTTTTCATTAGTCCACATGGTGCAGAAAAGAAGGAAAACTCCATTCATTTCATTTCATTTCTTGTTAGTTCTTATCCAACCACAAGAAGTAAAATAAACTCTCGACATAAGTTTTGGTACAATTGATTTATCGGGTGTCTCAAAAAAACGTTCCAAAGTTCGACGGGTTGTATCTCAACTGTGGGTAAACTGATGTCTTCTCAATTCTCACAGATAATACTTCAAGATGTCGTCCAAAATTGTACGAGTACTGCACCGAACAAAATAGCATGTCATAAATGAAGTATAAGGCAACTTACCATTTCACCTGGTGACACCATATACCATGATAAGTGATACATACACGACTATTGATTTTGTCTATATAATATCCTGTTCGACACTAAGTCTATCCCAATTTGTATTTCAATCAAACTTATTACATATAAATAGAACATAATTGAAACTGTATGATGAACAGCAAACTGAAAATATCTAAAGACGTTCCCGTTTGACCACAGCTTTATCATTGTCATAACTATTACAATCTGATTTAATGAAGCTATTGTTATTGTATACCAAGATATATATACAATATATTTCACCAAAAGGGCACTTTTATTTATTCTTAACCGCTATATTGCTAAACGGACTTTGCAAAAATTGCAAATTGTAGCTAAATAATGACCAAATCTTAGTAAGTTTACCTAATTCGCTTAAAGATAACTGTTTTTGCGTAATCCTTGAGTCATAATGATTGCCAACAGTTCTATCATTAGAGACCAATGAGATGGATGAAAATAAAGTAAATTCGAAATATATACTTCTACAACAGTTAGGTCGTGTTGATAATCTTCTAATGTGCAGCGCAAACAAAATCGCCGGTTCGATGACATGAAAATTCCTGGAAAATACGCAAAACAATCAGTATTGAGACTACTGTATAGTTTTTGTTGCCGAGCGAATTTATACTGGAAACAATGTTCAATATAGCCTAGAATTCGTTCGGACACGGGCTTTAACATTTCCATTACGATTCTCCTTTAAAACTTCTACATTATACTCTATTTACTTGGCTTCTTATGTCAAATTCATCTGAAAAATTCAATGAAACCCACAATTTCCATTCCAGTCTGTCATGGAGAAATCTTTGTTGCCTAGCAACAAAATGTCTGAGAAGGAGGGTCAGATAGAAGAATTACGAGGAAGACTATCTGATATACCACCTTTAGAAGACGAGAAAGATTTTTTCTTATCGGAAGAAACGTAAGTAGTTAGTCTAAACATTGGGCTCGATCAAACCATCTATTGCAAAAATTCACAAAAAATCGTCTTACAGTATGGTTATACATCCATATAATAGACCTACAAGGAGAAAGGAATCCATTTGCAAATTTGTATTATTTATTGGTAGCCAATTTAATTTTTGTAACTAAATGCCAGTTGTGTTGGTTTGTTTTATCTGTCACATGCTTTTTCAGATTAGCTCGATATCTGAAATCTTGTAATTGGAACGTGGCCGAAGCAGAAAAATATCTTAAAGACACCATTGAATATCGTCGTAAAACAAGACCACTATATGTTGATTGTAAATATTGTCATGAGAGACCAGGTTATCATTCCATGGTAAATATCAATAGAACTTAGTCATCTTATATCTAATTTCTATACCACCATATAATGTTTTAGATTCACTGGCCCGCTTTTTTTAGCTGAGCTAACATAGAAAACATCTTTACGGATTTGATTAAAATAAACGTCTAATTGCAGAGAAATACTTCTCCTACGTATTCTAAAGGTTTCAACTAATAATATCGAGTCATTATGAAGCCAACACATATAAACACTTTATATCGACTCTGGTACTGATGTATCAGATAGGTGCAGCTGAATTCAGTTAACCTGAGCCCATCGGACGAAAGAATTGCGGTAGCGGATATATGCAGAGCGTTCGAAATCTACGACCATTCATTGATCTCAGTCGCTAATAGTCCGCAAACGATTCGCTCAGGTCGACTGCTACGGATCCGATAAGATGCTATTAATTGATAATTAGATATTCAGTTTAGGTAGTTTTTTGATGGTCAGCTAAAAAAAATTGCATTTTTGACTTTACTTCAGAGACAAGTTGGGTTTGATGAGATGGGAAGACCTGTGATATATGCCAATTTCGCTCAAGCATCAACCCACAAATATATGTTGGATGATTCTGTTGCTCATGTCACATACTTAGTAGAAAATGCCAAAAGAACAATGAAAGCTGGCATAACAACCTGGGTATTTGTGATAGATTGTACAGGTATGTATTAGTAATCTTGATAGATTCTTGGTATTTGTGATAGGTTGTACTAGTAAGTACTAGGTATAGGCTACTATTTGTGATATAGTACGGGTATGTACACTGTTTGTGATAGATTGTACAGGTAAGTATTAGTATGTGTGATATGTACGAGTATGTACTACTATTTGTGATAGACTGTACAGGTATGTACTACTATTTGTGAGAGATTGTACAGGTAAGTACTACTATTTGTGATGGTACGGGTATGTACACTATTTCTGATAGATTGTACAGGTAAGTACTAGTATGTGTGATATGTACGGGTATGTACTACTATTTGTGATGGTACGGGTATGTACGCTATTTGTGATAGATTTTACAGGTAAGTACTAGTATGTGTGATAGTACGGGTATGTACACTATTTGTGATAGATTGTACAGGTAAGTACTAGTATGTGTGATAGTACGAGTATGTACTACTATTTGTGATAGATTGTACAGGTAAGTACTACTATTTGTGATGGTACGGGTATGTACAACTATTTGTGATAGATCGCAATAGTTTTTTTAAAAGCGGTGCAATTTTTGTATAATTTATGTCTATACTTTAAATTTCAGGTATGACATTATCAGCCTGCAATCCCAAACTAGGATATGGTGTTACTCAAGCTCTAGCTGACCACTATCCAGAACGTCTAGGATTAGTCTTGTGTATCAATCATAATGCTGTTTTCCACGGAGTATGGCATGCTATTAAAAGTTTTCTTCACCCACAGACAGTGTCCAAAATGAAATTCATACGATCTAAACGGAAAGTGCTTAGTTCTTTCCACAAATATTTCTCAGATGAACTTACTGACTGGTTGATTAAAGAAATAAAAAATAACAAACAAAAACCTATACCGTCAAGCCAAAAGGAATTCTGGAATGGAGCCAAAAATGGCCATGACCCAAGAGGATGCCCGTCATATATAAAGGAATATATAGAACCGTACTTTAAAAATGTTGGTTCTGCCAAGCCTTCACACAAACCTCATCCTAATATAATAGATACTTCCCGGGGGAGGGTACATTCCATTACCTTAACAGCAGAAGAATTGAAAGAGAGAGAACAAGCTCAGGCTCAAGCAGCAGATGATGCGACCGGAAGTGACGATGACGATATACCAGATGGAAGTGGAATAGATATAGATGAAGTCTTCCAAATCCCAAGTGATGCTGCAAAACTATGTACATAAGTATAGTTTGAAATTAGGTCAACATATAAACTTATCACAAAATTTTGTTTACTAAATAATTTATTTAGACTTTTGTCAAAGAGTACTTCTTAAGGAAAAGGTTCAGAGCTTGGGACAACTTTCTTTCGGTCATATTGAGAATGTTGTGTTGAATTTAAAATTTGTGATGAAATGTCAGTCACCGTAGACAGAAAAACTAGAACCGGAAACGACTTATTAAGCCAGAATTCAATCGATAAATGGTTTTTAACTGACGAAGTGTCTTTAAATCATAAGAAATCTTTATTTTAATCTAGTCATCTATTATAAGTCAAGGCAAATCTACGATTTCAGTTTTTCACGAAAAGCATAAAAGATAATCTTTTTTTAAAAAAGTACTCAACTACATACAGCTTCGTGCACTTTACCAAGTCTCAGAATTTTCTCTCATTTTCCTGTAGCATCTGCCGTTGGATGTCCTACACCGCTGCAAAATGAACATGGTTTTCTCCATAAACATTTTGTACGACCATGTCCATACTGAATAGACTATAATATACTATTGAATTATTCCCATATCGTACCATTTTAATATTTCTATTTCTATCTTACCATCTGCAGTATTAATATTCCCTGAAGGATTATAAAGGATTCATAATAAAACAATATCTCCACTAGTTATTATATAATTTATCTCTTACATCAAAGGTGTGCCAAGTTGATTATCTGCGAAGGCTGAAGCATATACCAAAACACTATCGTCACTGTAATTGTCGTGGCATATCACCACAGCAATCTGGAAAGGGTTCAGTATAAGAACTTTCAGAGTGTTTAAAGCGTCAATTTATCACTGTATATAAGCTAAAAAAAAACACCATCTGAAGCTATGTTGTTCAAAAGTTCAAGTATTTGGGGTTGTTTGGCTGTCAGTATTGTAAATGATCTATTTTCCATTGAAATAGATGTTTTTGAAACAAAAATTATATCTCTCGGTTCATTTTAGTAGCCTACGGGATTGGGTCTGACATCAGTAATGGCAGGCTGGCATTCGAAAACTATCAAAAATGTAAAGTTGCAAATTTAACTGCCGGCGCACACCTATCTGAAATTGTAATGCTTCAAATATCAAGTTCCTGTCGTGCATATGTTACTACACTTTTAGTACCGGACACCTCCAGAAATAAGCTTGTGGAGGGTTTTCCTCAAGAAATTAATTTGCTTTAGCGACAAAGTCGACTAACTAACTGTTTCCGGCTGAAACAGACGCTGGACATAATAACAACTACACACCTTGGGTCAATTATGGCAGAGTAATGGCCATTTTAATACGAGATTGGAGTCTAGCCACAACAGTCTATCATCACAGGTTGGACCAAAGCTTTGACCGACTGGCGTACGAAAACTTTCAGAAATGTAAAGATGCAATTGCACTGCGGAGGTGCATCGACCTGTAGTGGTAGCCTGCATGCTACAGCACTTTGAGTAGCCTCCAGACCTCGATCCAGAAATCAGCTTTGGGGAATTTTCCTGTTGAATAAAGGGGTGATACTTCTAATGTGAGATTATAACTTCACGGGTTGGGATTAAGACAAAAAATTGGACAGACTGGAATTTATCGGAGACTTTATATTTCAAGTTGAACTGGCACGCCGATCGGAAGTTATGTTTTAAACTTCTCTTCTCCATGCTCCTCTACTCAAACTGTTTTAGTCTATTCAGCTCATTTTCAATCACATCTTGATTATTGTTCTACAATTTGTGATTCTTGTAGTAAACAGTTCAGGCTATTCAGGAAAATCTTGTTATATCTCTAAGATTACAATTTTCTTAGAGAAGAAATAGCCATTTGGTTTTATATTAGTCACCACAGTTTATCTTCAGGTTGGGATTAAAAAATTTTTTTTTTAAAAAGCTGGTAGAAATGTAGCCTTAAGGTGTATTATAAATTTCAAATTGTAAATTGTGAAGGGTCAGCTGATTTCAAGAGTGAAATACTTTCATGATAATGTAAAATGATTATTCATCCAAACTACCCAGTTTGCAATATCGTCATCTACCAATCGTAGAGTTATAAATAGAATAGCAACCACTGGCATTTCCTTTTTAACACATACGTGGTAAATAGCCACTGCCATAAATTACCGTTTCAGATTTATACCAACGCCTCAGATTATGAAAACAAGCTAAAAGTACAAAATATAATTACAAAGAGTTGGATATAGTAAATTTTGAATCATTTAATCATTTATCAATTATATTTCGTTTTCTCTTTATCTACAGTTATAAAATTTTCTTTTCAAGAAAAGACAACTCCCAGAAACAACACGTGCTAAAAAATAGTAATCAAATACAAAATATTTAGTTTTCTGACAAATACGACAAAATGGTGCTTCAAAGAGTCTCGAAACCAAAAACTCACAAAGGAAGAAAGTTTTTAGAGAACAGAGAACCTAAAATCGAAGAAAATGACAAATCTGCAATGTTTATCAAAGGTGGAAACACAAGTCAAACTGTTACACAAGTTCTGAAAGAAATGTACATGCTGAAGAAACCAACAGGCATCATGATGAAAAGGAAAAATGTTGTTAGACCATTTGAAGATCAATCAACTTTAGAGTACTTTTCAGAAAAAAATGACGCATCACTATTTCTTTTTGGGTCTCATTCCAAAAAGAGACCAAACAATCTTGTGCTTGGCCGATCATTTGATCATGAAATATTTGATATGGTGGAGTTAGGAATAGACAGTTTCAAGTCTATGTTTGACTTTCGAAATGATAAATGTTCACAGGGAACAAAGCCATGTGTTATTATAAGTGGACAAGACTTTGAATCTGATGAAGATTATAGAAAATTAAAGAATTTGTTCATTGATTTCTTCCGGGGTCCAAAAACAGAGAAAATAAGACTTTCTGGATTAGAATTAGTTATTAACATCACAGCAATTGAAGGAAAAATATACCTGAGAACCTACAGAACAGTTTTAAAGAAATCTGGTGCAAAGACACCCAGAGTAGAACTTGACGAAATAGGGCCTTCATTAGATTTAACAGTAAAGAGGACCAAGTATGCGTCTGATGACATGTATAAACGAGCTTGTAAACAACCTTCAGAAGCTAAAGTTTCTAAATCCCAAAAAAACAAATCTCGTACAAACCTTGGAGATCAACTTGGTAGAATTCATATGCAGAAACAAGACATGGATAAATTACAAGTTAGGAAATTAAAGGGTTTAAAGAGAAAGAAGGAATCCAAAGATGAAGAATCCATTGGAAATAGTAAAGTGAAAAGGATGGATGATGAGTGACTGTTGAATATATAACCAATAAAACTAAACATTATATAATGTGTTGTTAATCATGTTACCATTTTACTATCATAAAGTGATGAATCAGTTAACAAGTTTTGTATTTGAGGCAAATGAATGGGTCTGATTTAAGATTATTGGTTTATCTTTCTTAGGGGGGATTATGGGGGGAAGAAAAGGCCCATCCCGTTATCAATATGCTTCTGATCAAAGATGTAGGTGCCATAGAAGGATCAGCTTTTATCCAGTCTCCTTGGCAATGGGTCTGGTTTAAGTTTTATAATACAATTTTGAATTGTGTTTTGTGAACTGTAGACAGATATGTATCACAATAGGTTCAAATATCACAATATTAAACAGTCTGAGATGTAAACAATTTGTACTGTTATAGAGGCAGGAGGCTGTTGACTATTGCCTGCAAATTTAACTGTTAAACGCTAACTTCAAAAGGTGGCATGTTTTTGTTGCATGTGAATTCATGTACATGTTATTATTCCAAACTGGCTTTATAAACTTGAGACACTGCTATTGTGTGATAAGAAATAGTACCTTTGTTTAGGAAACTGATCTGAATAAAATAACTTTGATCAAGTTGGTCAAATTATATTTCAGTTGGATATCTATTAAGGTTATCTACCTTACCATAAATTACAGATGTGACGTCACCCTTTGATCTTGGCTTACCATTGTCCAACATAATGGTACTGAGCAAATTGCCACAAGTCCAATATTGACATTAATAATGGACTCTTGGTCCTTTGCTAAGTAAATGTGACCTGTTTTATAATTTTTAACGATTGACTTGGCTTCGAATGGTATCTGAACACTAGTCCTAATATATAGATGTGGGTTAAAGCGTCAATCTTAGTTTTATTCAATCATATTTAGGGAAAGTTTAACGTGGTTAAAATTAAAATATTATTCTTATGTCAAATTTCAAGACTATTTCCGATAGCCGAATCAGAGTATTTATGCCATTTCAGAAGTAATGCAATAAAATTATCTTCATAAACAACACTAAATTTATTAATTTGATACAGCCAACTAAAGATTAATTCTAATAGCTCCGTCAAAACTGTCATCCTTATCACTAATTGCTAATAATATTTACTAATGCAAAATGTAAATGTTGAAATGATGCCGTATATGCCATGAAAGTGGTGTATTTAGGGGCCATAAAAAAAGATTCTACTTCCACTTTCAAAATCAAGTTGTATGTAACTTCCACCTTCCTATATAAGATAAATTTTCCAAGGGATCCAGAAAGGGGAGTCAGGGTGCTTGGATGCCCCCTCCGTCTATTAAATCCTCGCTACGCCACTGGTATGAATCTCGTAATTTGAGCTCATGTGATGTATGTTATTGCCTGAGTAGATGTCGTTATTGATCAGAACTGTATTTTAAGTTGGTTAATGGTCTCAAGCTAGGAGTATATACTATACTCCAAGGTCTCAAGTATGTCAATACGTCTAATAATGACGTAGTACTCGGACCTTCGGTTTATTATAAGACTTATTTACAAGCTTTCGACCATTAACCTATACTTACACTGAAATAGTATTGACCGAACGAACCTTCCATGTAAGAATGTAGTTATTATCTTTCAGAAGATCAAGATATTAACTAAAGATAACACCAACTTGAGTTTTAAATATTTAAATAATTTCATTTGGATTTTTCTTTAAATATAAAATATTTCATATCATGATCAACATTTTAAAACCATAGTTCTACAATTAAAATGAACAAGTTAAAAATATCTAGAGAACAGATTAATGTTCTATAGCAAACAGTGCACCATAACTGATATACATATACATAAAACCTATTTTCCATATGTACAAACAAGAAGTATATTGCCAGTATCTTTCAAAATATTTATCATCTTGACGTGTTGATGTGCAAATAAATAAATCAGGAACTTGGTCTGTTATGCATTAGTTTGTCTTCTCAAATAAAAAGTACATTTTAAGTGATGTAATACCGAGACATTTACTTGTTGAGAGAATGCATTACTTATTTCTAAGCTATGAAAAATTGGTTTAACTATAATACAATTTGGAAAAATGGAAATACCCAAATAAGGGAACGTTCACAGATTGATATAGTGGCAGTGAAATGTCATAACATAAAGTCATTTACTTAAAATACTCTATTTGAATGTTTTGGCAAAACAATATTTTGTTCAACTTGATGGTTTAACTAAAGGTATGTTATATACATAAAAGACATTCTACTGATAACATTTAAAGAGTAAGAAATGAGAATGGAATGTTAAATTATAAGAAATTCTGTGATTTGAGCATAAGATCAAGATTGCTTAGATAATCCTGACTCAAATATGATTCATCTCGAAAGATATCAAATAATTGGTAAGATCACTTTTACATCATTTGGTGAATTTTTTAGGAAGTTTCAGTTTTGTTACATTATTAACTGCTATAAAATAATTATAATGTATCAGCATTCAGCACTATTAATTTCATTTTATTAATTAGACATGATCATCAAAGAATGGACAATGAATAAAAAGTAATATTTTTACACTGTACAAACCAACACAATATTACAAGTAATGCGATCTTGTTAAATATTGAATTGCACAACCCTCTCATAATGTGATTTATTACAAAAATAGAAGCTCTCCTCTTTCTGTGATAAGGCATTACAACATACAGCTGATAACAAAGACACCATTGGCAACATCTTGATGATTTAACATGCAAATTTTGCAACATCACATTTCAATCAAATAATAGTAAACAATTCAACATAAATTGACTATCTTTTGATCATATTCATTTTTTCTATGCTACAGTGATTTATCATATTGTTTGAACCAAATAGAAACAGACTTCTATTAATTCGTACAAACAGCAGAAAAATAGGTTATCACAATTTCTCTGGGCTCTGTATGTACAAACAATTTTATCAGACTAATATTATATATTTTACACAAAACGTGTTAAATTACAATTATACACGAGACAAAATATTTGAGAAGTTTATTCTTCATTTCTCAGTATTATATATAATATTGACAGACTAGTAGACTAGAAGCAGAACTATCAGTATCGTAATGTAAGTCTTGATGATTCTTTCTAAAATAAATATGCATAGAGGGATCAGTAAGTTTGGAATAATTACTTTTCTATGCAGTGAAACACCAACACTAGATATCCATAACAATATTTGTAAAGAGAATGGATTGACATCCCTTGACTGTTTATGTAGTGTTTATTATCACTGGGGTGTAGATTCTCTACACACATTCACACCATATCACAATAGCACAGTATCATATATACACTATAAAATATATATCATCCTATAGATACTACCAGTCTATACATAGTTATCAGGATAATATTTATTTTCTACCACTAAACGTTTTTTATCCTCACAAGTTCTTTGACGCCATTTTCTTAATTCAGAAGCTATAAACACTGTTGAGGTCAAACTTATTAAAAATACAAAATCTGGAAATAGAAAAACAGACATATTTTTATTGTCACATATGAAATGATATTTGACAAATTCTCTATTCTTTATTCTTTTTAAAACAAATTTAGGCATGGATGTTTCAGGACATAGTCACAATAATATGTTATTATAAAGTCTCATAAATTAATTTCTTAATCTCTAATGAAAAATGCAGTGTGAAATGGAATGACTGCAGCTGCATGGCATCTACTTTGGAATGGAGTTAAAGATTCTATGAGTCATAAGTCAGCAAATTTACAAAACAAAACATTTATTAATTGAATTTATTTATTTGTCCAATACAAGGGGGCTATTAGAACATGTTTGCATAGCAACTGTAGGACAAATTCAATGTATTAATTTCAATATTAGAGTATAAAGAATATGGTTAATGTTCACACAGTACTTACCTACAATACTGAGTGCTTCTGTTTGAAATACAAGTTGTAATGGTGGGAAATAAATAACTAATAATTGACCTAATATAGACCCACCAACAGCTAATAAAAATACTTTATTTGTAAACAACCCTATTTGAAATATAGACTTTGACTGAAAGATAAAAGAAAATCGTCGTTAGAGAAATTCATTACATATAACAATCATTTTAAATCAAAACAGTATGTCCACAAAATATATAGATAAAAGCAGATCAAGAGAATACTTATATGCAGTTTTGCAAATGTTTATGATCTGGCTTAAAAAGTACATGGAGTAAAATTTTCCTTTTAAAAAAAAAGTTGAAGACATACCTGTGATCTACAGCCTAAAGCATTAAACATATCAAAAAATACAAAACAGGTAAAAGTCATAGTAGTATCTCGGGGTGTTATTTTGTTATCACTCATCTAGAAAAACAGAAAAACAGTTCATCATTATTTATGTGCAATGAAGAATGTAATTTTAACATTTTATTCATAATATGTTATTCTTGACAACAAAACATAATAATGGAGGATATACCAATAAGACAATGCTATATTAATGTGGAAAGATTTAAATCTTAAAGCCGTGTTCAGATTAAAGACAAAATTAAAACATCATCTTACCTCTCTCCAGAATACCCATAATGTACCACTAACAATAATAACAGCAGATAATAGAGCATTAAATATGAGTTGTTTAGTTAATATAGGATCTCGTACTTTACGTGGTGGTTGTCTTATCACATCATGATCTACAGGCTCTACACCCAAACTATAACATAAAATAACTTATAAACCTAGAATTCTCAAACTAAAGAACTAATTGGGATAATATAAACAGCAGAAAATTTTCCAGGACAGTAGCATTCAAGAATTTTGAATTGTAAGGGATTTTTAACATGCACAGCCCAGTATATTTTTATAAAAATATTTACAGGTTTTTCCATGTGACACCCTCCAACTTGCACCACTGACAAGTGAAAGCAAGATTGATCAAAATATAAATATTTACTGACCTTTGAGCTGGAGGTCCATCCATTATGATATTAATCCATAATATTTGCATAGCATTTAAAGGATTAGGTAAACTCATAACAGTTGATAAAGCTATTAATGATAAGGCTGCCATACTCCTGCATGATAGAATAATGTATGTTCAAATTATCTTCTACAGAGTTCATCATAATCTGTATAATTTACATTTTTCTATACACATATAAAAGGTAATGATAAGTTAAAATTAAATTAATTATGCTATGCTTTAAAAATTAATGTATGATTTTTGAATAAGTTCACAATAACAAAATACTTTTGTTGTAAAAATGATGCTCAATATATCAATTGTAAAGAGTTCTAGAAAATTTTAAAAATATATATATATATATAAAATGGTAAAGATTGATTAGTAAAATTGTAATATCATATACAAAAAAAAATTCATAATAATATAACAACATCATAATCTGATTATATCTAGTGTAAAATCAACTTACGTGCTCAGTTGAAACCGTACAAAATTTTTAATGTTATAAAATATGCCTTTTCCTTCTTCAATAGCAGATCTAAAATAGAGCAAGATAAAATATATAAATAATTTAAAGTGGTCCGTAGCTTCAGGAAAAAATCTTGTCTTATTCACACGAGAAGCCTTTCTTGGCTTATTTCTCTTTAATCTAAATATTGGAAATGATATCCTTATGATGGATTTATATACAAATGTAAGATAAGCTCTTGTCAATTATGTTCTTCCTATTTCAATCATACTTACAGAATAGTAGAGAAGTCATCATCAACAAGAATCATATCTGCAGCCTCTTTAGATACATCAGTACCAGATTTACCCATAGAGATACCTATTTCTGAAGATTTTAATGCTACAGCATCATTTACACCATCGCCTGTCATTCCAACAACAGCACCATTAGATTGTAGAGCCTATCGCAAAAAATTGTAAAAGTAAATTAAAATCAAATTTCAGGTCTTACTATATTCTTTGGACCATATGTCCACAGTATAATACATATAAATATATCCAATTAACTTATTATGTTATAAATATAAAAAATATTCAAAATTTTCAAATTATTGCTAATAACTAATCCCATATGATAATATTGAAAATCTGTTAATGGTCAAATAAAACTTACTTTGACTATTTTTAATTTATGTCGAGGTGTTACTCTATAAAACACACCAACTTGGTTGATAATTTTGCGTAAATCTTTGATATCCATTTGATCAATTTGATCTCCAGATAATGAGGAGGCTCCAGATGAATATAATCCTAATCTTGCACCTGTAAAAAGACAAAAACTTATGATATAATTCAACATTTATATCATAGTTTTCAAGAATTGGTATATATTTTGATTTTGCTAGTTTTCTAAGTCTCCACAAACTCATTGTGAAATATTTAATATCAACTACTGTACATCAATACAACTTTAAAACATAGGAGAAAGTCCTATCAAAAAGTAATTAATGATTGAATGTAATGTGTGCATTCATTGGTTGATGAACTCAGACTTTTCACATGTAAATTCGAATGAATAGCAAAGCCATTCATGTTAGATTTATCAGGTAAAAATTCGGCATTCATCAACCAATGATCGCAAAAAGAAATCAACATTCAATCTTTATATTTACATTCGGTAGTGTTCAAGAATCTATCATCGTACTTTTAAGGATAAAATTATAACCATAATATAGTTATATTATTATTGTTAGAAACGTGTGAAAAAACAGCAACACAACTCCTGTCAATAAACTTTTAGCCCCGCCCCTACATACCTAGTCTTACAATGATGTATGAATACAAAGCAACACAAATAAAATAGTAAAATAGTACAAGGTAAATTTTTTACAAACGAATGAAAAACACATTTTAGAAAGTTCATCTATAACACAAACAAATAACTTAAATATTCAACACTCGGAAACTCAAATATTATATTCCATCCACTTGTGTATTTCTCGTTGAAAGTTTTTGTGTATTCATAAGCCTCATCTCAAGTTGTTACAGGAGATCACGTCATTATGTTGTCAATACGTCATTACTTAGGAAATTTGTAGTTCATCAGTAAATAAATGCAATAGGTTCACTGTAGTATGTGAGGACGTAAAATGTAAATATTGAGTGATATACTGTTTTAATGTTCTCATACCAATATACATCTATGAAAATACATCAACTTACCAACTGCTTTAGCTGTTTCTTCTGAATCACCAGTTAGCATTTTAATACTAACACCTGAGCTTAATAATGTCCATATAGCTTCTCGTACTCCTTCTCTAGGTGGATCAATGATACCAACCATACCAACAAATATTAACTTGTTCATTTCTTTACCATATGCCATTGATAAAACTATATTATAACCATAAAAATTTATATTCGTAAGTTTTTACAAAAATAAAATAGTACAGAAACATGAGAGCTAAATATATCTTGATCTTTATTCTAATAATGCTCTACAGTATCCTGTCTTACATGTCATCCAGTTGAGCTACTCGAAGTAAGTACTATACTTATATTACTTTGAATGGTCAACGAGTTTCTGAAATGATCATATATATATGTAATTCTTATAATCTACAAAAAACATTCATACATAATCATTGATAAAAATGAAATTGAAAACAGAAAACCAGCACTAACCTCTGAGACCAGCAGAGCCCATACGTGAAGCCTGTTGAGTATATTTCTGTACATTTTTCTCTGTCAATGGTTGTGTTGTACCATTATATAATATATGTGTACACATCTGTAATACTCTTTCTAATGCACCTTTTACAAAATATACTGGTTCATTATCCTATAAAACAATACAAGGGAAATAAGTACACAACAAACACAACAAAATCTAACTAGTTTGGCAATGTGATATTTTCATAACACTGGTAGATAGTGACTATTTCAGACAATGGTCAAAAGGATCTGATGGTAGAAAGTTAAACACTATCCAGGAGACTACACACTTACATTCCCAAATTTAGGTTGACATTTAACAGTCATATATTTAGTTTCTGAACTAAAAGACCATTCTTGTAGCCTAGTATATTTTTCTCGGTAATCTTGCACATGCATCTGAAAATAAATATAATACTATATTATAGAAATTTATTCAGAGATTTCCACATAACTAAAATATGATATTATCGAGGATTTGACACAAGAATAAGTCCAAAAATATCATGTACAGAGTGTTCAGACAAAATGAATAAACTCAAATGAATGAGTTTAATAATTATTGATCTTAAATGATAACAAATTTCGGTGTATGCAGCAAATTCCAAAAGACTGAGAGAATGAAGATCAAATATCAATGTTATAACATGAAAACATGTAGGAATATGATAAAAACAGAAAATCATGTCTTAGTTTAATTTTTACCTTAATTGCTAAAGCTAATAATGATCCTTCAGTAGGTTGACCACGTAAACCTTCATTTGTAATATCTGAATTATTACATACACATCCAACCTGTAAAATTATAATTTTTCAATAAATAAACTTGACATAATCAATAAAAAATGATCTATGTTATAATTTGCTACTTTTCTAGATTTGACATATAGATAGATATTATTGATAATAAATATATTAACTTACCTCAACTACTTTAGATAATGTTGATGCTCCACCTTTAGATGCTTCACCTCCAGATATAACTTGACCATCTCCATTATAACCTACCCCAGTAACCTGGAGATAAATTTCACATCTTGTATTCAAGTAATTTTGCACTTACATTTCAAATATAGGATCAAATAACATTTTTGATACATTAACGATTTTGAGTCAGTTACCCTTGCTGTTTGGGTAAACAAGACTGTAAAAAGTGATCTTGAAGACAAGCAATACCATGCAGTGAACAATGAGTGGAATTTTTCCAGGGCCATGGGCCTTATTTCATTTCATTTTTGAGGGGTGGAAATGAGATGGGTGGCATCTAAATCTGATCTATCAAACTGGTAGAAGAGAAAGAAAAAGAGGTTATGTAAACAAAACACAACACCGCTTTGCCGCCGCTTGTTTGAAGAGATAAGAACACATTCTTTCCAAGTAAATATTCCAAAGTAAGGTTTTACTTTCTCAATTCTTTAACAAAAACCTTCCTCAGTTCTGTACCATTGTCTACGTATTCATCAAAATATGTAATGGCACACTGCTTTCATTTTGTTTACGTTCGCAAACAAAGTGATTTATGAATACGTAATTTTTCTCACGTGTATTACCATGGCTCCGAGGAAGCATGATAAATAATAATAAATGGTTTGGACACAATGGTTAATGAGCATGCCCTAAACTGTTATGGAGTATATAAGCTTATACTGGCAGCACCATGAGAATCTTGATGATTGTATGAACACCTACCTCAGCTTGTTGATCATCTGATGTATATATCTGTGTAACTGTCATTTCATTCTTAGTTAATGTACCTGTTTTATCTGAACATACAACAGTCACACATCCTGAAATAAAATGTACAGAAAATTAAACTAGTAGATTTGTCTAGTTGATTTTTATTGTCAAGATAATAAGCCATTTTGTCAGATATTTATGTAATTGCAGTGTAAGTTTATACAATAAGTATATTATATATATAATATAAGCATATAATAGATCATCAATAAATAACTATTATATTTTTGGAAGAAAAATATATTTTATCATGTTCTTACCAAGAGTTTCCACGATAGGTAGTTTCTTTATGATAGCTTTCTGTTTAGCCATTCTGATAACTCCAATAGCTAATGTTACTGTTACTACAATAGGTAAACCTTCAGGAATTGCTGCTACTGCCAAACTTTAAATAAACAAGATATAACATTAGATATTGAAATGAGATATTAGGTTTGTCACTGCAGTCAAATAAGGGAACATATATCTAAAGCGACGGGTTCGCCATCCATTTGACCAAATGAACCTTATTCGCAGAAACTGGAATTTTTTGGCCAAGCTAATCAGCAACAGTGTTAACATCTCACCAAAAGTAACAAGTACATATTTAAAACTATTGATTATACAGATATATGGATTTGATTTTATTTTTAATTCACCATGAAAGTGAAATATTGTGCTCTCAAGTGAACAAATTAGTAAATAAATAAATTAGTAATAAAGACCTACCTAACACCAATAGTAAACATATCTAATAATCCTCTACCCTGAATCCATCCTATCAACATTATAACACCAATAATACAGAAGGAATAAAATGATAGTTGTTTTCCAAGAGTATCCATACTCTTCTGTAAGGGAGTTTTGGGTGCCTGAAAAAATATATATATATTTACATATTCATTAGGCAAGGTAAACAGCATAAATTGGTGCACTCTTTTTGGATCTAAAACATATGTCCAGTATTATGTACAGTGTTAAATCTCCTGACACATGTTGCATCTCATCACATAATCATAAGTAGAAATAAGATAATTAGTGTCATAACTGCCTCCACAGTGCTAGATAGAAATATAATCTCACATCTTCAGCATTCATCATTTTAAAAATTTCACCAAATTCTGAACTTTCGCCTGTACCAATAACTACACCCTGAAAAATATAACAATAATATATTCTAGAGTAGAATGTTTAATTCAAAATTACTCTCTCACAGGACTTTTTTTATGGAAAAATGCTTCAATAGTCCGGATCAAGCCAAATATACAAAGTTTTATGAAATCCTCTTGCATTCATATCTCTCATGGATTTATGGTGGTGAACTTAATTTGGAATGCAACTAAGACAAGGTTAAAGATAGCTTGCCAGGCAAGGTAATATACGCCCACTGGTAGCTTTGATTTTGAACATAAATATTTAGCAGTACAGTAACAATCACCAGTATGAAATATTCAACCTTCAGTCATACACTTTTTTTGAACTCTTAAGGGCGATACTGAATAATATTGAGTATGAGTTATTGCCCTTGTTCTTGAAAACGTGTTCAATCTTTAGCTCATGAAAACTCTAGAAGACAAATATTCAATTTTCAGCGCAATAATGAATAATAAAACCAAGTTTTGTCAAAATTCGGCAAGAATCATGCCTTATAGAGTTTTTATGAGCTACAAATTGAACGATTTTTCAAGATCAGGGGCAATAACTCGTACTAAATATTTTTCTGATTTTCGATAGGGTTTATCCTTGGGTGATTACCAACACTCACACCAAGATTCGTCAAAATCCATCAAGAATTGTGCCTTCTAGAGTGTTTACAAACTAAAAATTGAATGCGTTTTCAAGAACAAGGGCAATAACTAATACTAAATATTTTTCAATTCTTCTGATTTTCGATAGGGTTCATCCTTGGGTGATTACCAACACTCACACCAAGTTTCGTCAAAATCCATCAATAATTGTGCCTTCTAGAGTGTTTACGAGCTAAAATTGCAAGCGTTTTCAAGAACAAGGGCAACAACTCGTACTAAATATTTTTCAATTTTTCTGATTTTCGATAGGGTTTATCCTTGGGTAATTACGAACACTTATACCAAGTTTCATCAAAATCCATCAAGAATTGTGCCTTCTATAGTGTTTACGAGCGTTTCACGAACAAGGGCAATAACTCATAGTAAATATTTTTCGATTTGTCTGATTTTCAATAGGGTTCATCCTTTTCATCCAATTCATGTGGGCGTATAAAAATTGGTAAGAAAGCCTCTAGGGGTTGTATTAGTTCCTGTAATGTAATTAAATCATCTTCTTCACTTGCCATTTTCAAGATAGTGGACCACAGCCATATACGCCCACCATGGCATGCAGATGGTAAATATTCAAGATTTTGGGGCAAGGGCAATAACTCTGCTTCTAACGGTCGCAAATAGCTCAAATTCGAACTTGATCTTTTATAATATGTATACACATACCGAATTTCATTTGATTCCATCAAAAAAACTAGTTTTTAGAGCATTTACAAGCCAATGTTGACGGACGGACGGACAGGGGTGCCGACAATATACGTCCACATAGAGAGATGTGGGCGTATAAAAATCAGACAAAATTCAGATTAAAGACAGAGCTACTTAAAATGCCATCATCATGGTAATACTTGTTACAATCATGTATATTTCATAACTGCTGACATAGCAATACTACAATATTCAAACAAACAACAAACACAATATACACATTTTCACATAAAAGAAGAGAAAAAGCTCTTACCTTGCCCCTGCCACATCGTATTAGAGTACCCATAAAAGCTATATTCGTTCTACTAGATATACCATTAGTAGAACCTTTATTTAATATGTTGGTCTGTTTATTGACTGGCTCAGTTTCACCAGTAAAACTTGATTCATCAATAGACATATCTACTGCCTAAAATATAATGTTTCCACTATTTATAATCATGAATCTATAAGGTAATCATAATGTATAATATTATAGTGGAGATATAATATAAAACTTCATGCTTCGTGAGTCAACCATATAAAAACCAAGATTGACTATGTCTTAATACTAAAAATTATCACAAGAATGCAGAAATCACATCTTCACAAAATGATTGCACTCTAATATAATATGTTTATGATGCCTGAGGAACTTGGTTGGCCATAGTTATTGGGCTAGCTAGAAGTGTGCAGATTACTGATCAATCTTCTTGAACAAAACATAAAATTAACAATAAAACATGTGATAACTGTAGCAATAAAACATAAGTACTCTTTGAATTGTTACAAGTAAGATATGAAACCATAAATTCTACTGGTGGGCCCTACTTTTAGACTTGAAAATCATGACACTTTTTAATAATGACTAAATTTCATGATAAATCATAAGATAGCTTGCCAGACAATGTAATATACGCATACTGGCAGCTTTGATTTTAAATAGAAATATTCGACAGTACAGTAACAATTACCAGTATGAAATATTCAACCTTCAGACATACACTTCTTTTGAACTTTTTGAGGTGATACTGATTAATATTACCAAATGTCATCAAAATCTGTCAAGAATTGGGCCTTCTAGAGTTTTTACAGGCTGAAACTTGAACACATTTCTTAGAACATGGGCAATAACTCATACTAAATATTTTTCGATTTTTCTGATTTTCAATAGGGTTCATCTTTGGGTGATTACATACACTCACACCAAGATTCGTCAAAATCCACCAAGAATTGTGCCTTCTAGAGTGTGTACGTGCTACAAATTTAACGCATTTTCAAGGGCAATAACTGATACTTATTATTTTTTAGAATAGAATTTAAAGAATTTTGCTAAATCAAACATTTTGTTCAGCATGAAGGATCTTAACAACTTAATATTACCAGTTAAAATCAATTGAAATATGAACAAAATTATAGAGCATTACATATCACAAACTCAAATCACTGATCTACAACAAGTCAATCAGTTATATTTGTCAATCAAACTGGGTCAAAGCAAATGCAATTTGTATTCAAAAATCAAATCAAAACAGGAAGAATTACTTGGAAATATTTTAAAACATTTATAGAATCAATGATTGTTCTTAAATATATCTAATAATTGGTCAAATTAAATTGGTGAATTAAAGCAAACACATTATTTAGATATTCTTTAAAGTAAAACTACGTCTTAGAATAAACATAAAATTTAAGAATTTTAAACTTGGCCAATATATTCATCAGTAAATATACCTGGTGTCATAAATAACATAACAAGATGAAAATAATCAGATAAATCCAAAAAACTTAGTAATTATTCATTTATCGATAAATATGCAATTAACTACTGAAAAACGCTTAGCCTAATATTAAGATTAAGCTTTTTTCAATAATTACTTAGTTTTATGAATTTTCCAGATTTTACAGGGATTCTGTGGTAACTTTATGACACCAGGTAAATTTACTGATGAATATAATATACTCATATTGACCTTTTCGAGAACTTAAATTTTATGTTCATTCTAAGACGTAGGATCACTTTAAATGACATTTAGAAGTAGTTGTAATATTACAAAATAAACACATTTATGGACATACTAAAGATTTTGGTATGTGAATTAAAACATTTTTATCAGAAAAGATAGATGTATTATATATATATATATATACAAATGAATGTGAGCCAGCAAAGTAGGTCATGTAAACAAAGCTGAGTTTATTTCTATATTCTATAAAAAGATCTACATTTCTTTTTAATACCACAGCTACATATTAGCTGATCCAGGACATATACCTGTAATATTTTATTGATTATATTGATGTGTTTGATCGAACATGAATCTTATGAGCAAAAAAAACAGCTGAATTCAGAATTTAAGATAGCTTGCCAGGCAATGTAACATATCGTTGGTGACTGCTTGAAACCTTGTAATGACATATTTGGTCCTTTTTTACTGTTCGAAAGCTTGCAGAAGAGCACATCTTGTGATCAAAACCTCACATTCCTAGCTTGTTTGTAAATAAACCAAAATCACTAAATAAAACATATATCAATATTTGTTACAAAAGATTGTAAATTATCATATTCAAGGTTTCATGTTAGTTGTCTTAGTTCAAAATTAATGATTTGCCAAGTTTCTTTCAAAACTGTTATGAACTGTGGCTATTAGAGTGGTCACAAGCTAAAATCAAATACATTAACTCATATCAAACAGTGTAATTGTATATGTTGGGCTATCTTTAACTGTTAAAGAACTCATAAATATATTTCATTAATAAAAGTGGTTTCTACATTGAAAAATGCTTATGTCATATTTGCATATAGCATAATCTATTATACAACTTAGTAAATACCACCACAGCCTTAGAAAAGTTAAATCTATTATGCAGCTTAACATATCACCAGACCCTTCCGGTCTCTCTCACTAGCAACTAGCTTAATGTATTAATGAATCATAAATAAATAATTGGCTTACCTCAAATAAGCGAAGATCAGCTGGGACACGATCTCCTACACTTAAATATACTATATCACCAGGTACTAAATCACGGGCAAAAAATGTTTCGACTTTACCATTCCGTAAACTAAAAAAATATAAATGCAATGAATGGAATCAGCACCTGGACTGTGGCTTTATACTTTGATAATCAAATAGTTTTTACCCAATTTCTGTACTGATTATTATGTAACTTATAATATATCTATTATTACTTACCAATGGCATTTTGGTGGTACCAATTTTGATAATGCTTCTAAAGATTTTTCAGATCTATATTCCTAAAAAAAGAACAGTCACATCAAAAATGTATAAGATCTCCAACTTACACATTCATAACATGATTTTTAAGTTTGAAGTTTAAGAAAACCATTGGAAACTTAAGTAATAGCTGTGTGTGACAAATTCATAATTCAATCTATTAACATGTTGTTGATAAATATTGTTTCCATGGTAACAAACACATCACCTTAACTAATACTCTCCTAAATATTTTACTGTACTGTTTCAACAATCTTAGTCAATAAGCTTACTCATCCATAGCACACAAAATCAACCTTTCAGTGAAGCTCTTTTATAACAGAAAGGGCCTGCTCTTCTATTGTTGAACACATGATATTATTTCAAGATCAAATTTCTTATTCAAACACTTTATTTCTATATATCACAGGGTATCTTAAATAGATGAGTCATCATTTTAACATTCAAACGCATGGACACACATGGATTTGAAGTTTCGAATTACGAGGGTGAGCTGCGAACACTATTACTGATCAGCTTAGCTAAAAAATTCATGTTTCTGAGACTAAGGTAAGATAGCTGGCAAGGCAAGGTAATATACGCAACTGGCGTTTTGATTTTGAATAAAAATTTTACAGTAACAATTACCAGTATGAAATATTCAACCTTCAGTCATACACCTCTTTTGAACTTTTTTTGGGGCGATACTGAATATTATTACCAAGTTTTGTCAAAGATCTGTCAAAATTTGTGCCTTCTGGAGTGTTTGCATTCTAAAAATTAAATGTGTTTTCAAAAGGGTGATAGCAAACTCTCGCACCAAGTTTTGTCAAAATCTGTCGAGAATTGTGACTTCTAGAATGTTTACAAGCTAAAAATTCAATATGTTTTCAAGAACACTAACACCAAGTTTTATCAAAATCCCTCAAGATTTGTTCCTTCTGGAGCTAAAAATTGAACGCGTTCAAGAACAAGGGCAAGAACTCATACTGAATATATTTCAATCTATCTGATTCTTGGGTGATTACAAACACTCACACCAAGATAGGAAACACCTATAACCACGTTTTGTCGAAATCTGTCAAGAATTGTGCCTTCCAGAATGTTAACAGACTAAAATTGATCGCGTTTTCAAGAACAAGGGCAATAACTCATGCTAAATGTATTTTGATTTTTTCTGATTTTCAATAGGGTTCATCCTTGGGTAATAATAAAAATTCACAACAAATTTCGTCAAAATCTGTCAATAATAAACCTTCTTTGACAAGCTAAAATTAGTAAAATCAAACGTGCTTTCAAGAACAAGGGCAATAACCGATACTAATTATTTTTAGATATTTCAATAGGGTTCATCCTTAGGTGAATACAAACACTCACACCAAGCTTTGTCAAAATCCGCCAAGATTTAAGCCTTTTAGAGTGTTTACGAGCACTTCAAGAACATGGGCAATAATTCATACTAAATATTGTTTGATTTTTTCTGATTTTCAATAGGGTTCATCCTTGAGTGAATACAAACAATCATACGAGTTTTTCATCAAAATCAGTAAAGAATTGTGCCTACTAGAGTGTTTACGAGCAATATCAGTTGGAGGGACGGACAGAGATTGGTAGCAGCAATATACACCCCCCATTTAAAAATTGGTTGAACACGTGACGAATCTGTTCCCTTACTGAAAGAAAATATTGCAACATAAACATATTCCTGTCAGAACACTATTTTTATTATGTACATCATTGTCACTATAGCCTACATTGTCATGGCTGTCGATTATAGCAACAAGTATAAACAAGACTTTACACTTGTTGAGTTGTTTCTATATTAAAAGTACCTGTACTGTACTAGAATATTGTTGAAATTATTGATCAATAAGTTGATTGGTTTCAAACATCAACCATATTGAAGCAATAATATAAGTGAGAGAAAACAAATTAGGTCAGGCAAATAACATAAAGATAGCTTGCCAGACAGGGCAATATATGCCCACTACAAGCAAATTTTAACATGTTTATCGTAAGTCAAGGGCAATAACTCTGAAACCCCTTAACTGATGTTTACTAATTTTGAACTTGAATGAGATCTTATCAATATATAAATGGTTTCATCAGGATCAGATAGAAATTGTAGCCTCTATCATGCCTACAAGCACTTTTTACTAGGTTAAGGACATTCTAAAATGGTTCGTTGGATTATTACTGATTTCAAACTTGACTGAGATCTCATCAATATATAATACCAAGTTTCATCAAGATTGTATAAAAACTGCAGTCCCTATTGCACATACAAGCCAATAACTTCCATCCCATCATTACCAAATTTGAACTTGCCCGGGAGCTGATCAATGTATACATACCAAGTGTCATTAAGATCGGATAAACACTGATAGCCTCCATCATGTCTACAAGAAATGTGGACGTACAAGGAGGATAGCAATATATGTCCATATTTCCATGTTTTGAAAAATTGTGTAATCATTTAAAGCTAGCATGAAGTCACTTTAAATAGCAATTTATTTCACATGTTTAAAGTCGCTATAAGTTAACATCAAACTTAGGCGGTATAGTAGGATATATGGGAAAAAGGAATTACAAAATGGTAACAGAAATTCAGTATGGTTGCAAGCACCCATAATAAAAAAATTGCCCAAGGACAAGTTTTGTTGAGTTAAGAAAGCACCAGAAAGAGAGTGGCTAAACGTAAAAATAAATACCTGTATGCACTTTTGTCAAATTTGGCATGAAGATACGATAACTTGCAAACTTAACTGTTTATCTGATTTTGATGAAACTTGGTATGCATATTTGCGATATATCGCTGATGCTTGAATTGGCCATAATTAAACCATTTTTGTAATTTTGCCCTTGTGAATTTTTGATGTGGCTTAGTGATGTGATTGAAGCTACACATTTTATCAAATGGAACTTGGTAGGCATTTGAATATTATTTGAAAATGAAATTTAAAATTGGCTATTATTTATTGGAAAGTTTTAGAATTATTAACCTTGACTCATTGAAATGTGTTACATGTTTAATATTATCCTGGACTTAACTTAGACTATGAACACCATGTAGAGACATAAATATGTTATCCATTTTGACAAATTTAACAAATGGACTATCCATAGGATTGAAATAACCCCAGAAAGTGGGTCGAACATTTTGTCCAGTACAATTCAATTTTTGTCGGACATTTGAAATTTTGTACCAGACATAAAAAAATATGGTATTTTTAATTGAAAAATTGCATTTAAAACCCATCAATTTAGGACTGAAATTCACCGTATTCTCACCTGCAAGTGCAATACAGGTTAAACATAGTTTATGCAATTCAAATAGGCCATAAGGATTATTTATATTCCCAGTGACTCTCAGGGAACGATAAGGCTGTAATTAAATTAAATCGTATCTTGTTCAAAAGTTCTAGGAACATAAAAAAAAAACCATCGGAAGTAATAACTTCTGATTGGACATTATTTTTCTACTTTCGGTTTTAAGAATACTCGCGCTAATCATAACATCTGGCGGTGTTTATTTCACATGGTGCTTGACAATTTCCTCCTGCTCAGTGCATAATATTTGAAATCAAAGAGTGATTAGACTTCATGTAGTCTTCATATAATATATACAGTATACTCTAGGTAATCCGACATACACTGGGACCGCAAAATAATGTCGCATTAGCGAGAGTATTGGAGTACTCAGAGTTTCGACAACAAAAGACAATTCAGTTGTATACGTTACTATTATTTAATTGTTCATATTTTGAGCTACTGTACATACGTTTTTTATTGGAATTATTATTGTTGGCAAACTTTTTTAAAAATTCTTTTTTGTTTTAAAATGCTGCTTATTGTTGTTCGACGTTAACCGAATTTCATACCTAAATATTTCTGCGAAGAGCAGAATAATTCTCCAATAATTTGCTGTTTCATATCCAGAGACATATCAGTACAGGCACGCTTTGCAGGAAGAAAATTGTTAGCTTGAAAAATTTGAAAAAACATGTAAAAAAAGAATGGTCAAGTTGCATATTTCTGTTTATATGGTGTAATGAATGATACGAGTACCCATGCCATTTGGTCTAAAGAGTACACCGTTCATTAATGTTTTGACTTGATCATCCAGACCTTGCATGTCTTCTCTAGGTGCTAGTAATCTGGATGATCTAGACTATGTTATTGCCGTTCCGAACTCTTTAGTGAGGCGAGAAATGTCAATCTGTTATGCAAAAAAGAACATTTGTCAAGAACACACAACCTTGACGTCTTTTGGAATATTAACAGTCAGAATCGCGATAATTCATGAAAAACTATATTTTTTCATAGATTTGGTACCGGACAAAAATGTCCGGCTCAAACTAGATTGTACCGGACATTTGCCGAAATTGTACCGGGCAATGTCCGTGTCTGGACGCTTATTTCGAGCCTTGGACTATCCACGGGCCACCAGTGAACTGTAAACCAATTTCTATTCTAGTCAGAAAATTTACTGCATACATCTACTGTAGAGATTCCTACAATCCCCAAACCCTCAAAATAAGCCATTGCAACTATGTCTTACCTGTATAAATGCTACTGTAACAACAATTGTAATAGCCTGAAACATAAACAGAGAGACAATGATAAGAGATATTTAACGTCAAACAGTATTACAGTGAATTACAGAACAGATTTCCGAATGTATATACCAAACGACTTGTAATTGCCTATAAGCGCAATAAAAACCTTAGTAATTTTCTGGTCCGTAGTAGACTCGATCCCATTGAATCCAATAATACTTAACCCCCCTCTCTATTTTCTAGCTCATTAAGTATAATATATTCTAATCCTTATATATAGATGTTTATCTTTTCAGAACCTATTCATACTCTTTTCTTTTAGAACTGGTAACAAGAAAACTTTCATATTATAGACTTTTGTTTATTGTAGATTACTCGTGGTTTTTTTTTTAACTTAATACTAACTATGCTAACTTCACCTTATCTTGTATTGAACATTTATCTCTTTATTTGTGACCTTGGCCAGTGCTTTACATCGAAGTTTTTAGGAACTTCTTCACTCTTAACACTAGGTTGTAGAAGAATGGAGAAGAACAGATTATAGAGTAGAGAAAATAGCATACAACATAGTAGAGTGGAGGAGAATAGATTATAGAGTAGAGAAAATAGAATAGAACATAGTAGAGTGGAGGAGAATAGATCATAGAGTAGAGAAAATAGAATACAGCATAGTAGAGTGGAGGAGAATAGATTATAGAGTAGAGAAATAGACTACAACATAGTAGGGTTGAGGAGAATAGATCATAGAGTAGAGAAAATAGAATACAACATAGTAGAGTAGAGGAGAAAAGATCATAGAATAGAGAAAATAGAATACAACGTAGTAGAGTGGAGGAGAATAGATTATAGAATAGAGAAAATAGAATACAACGTAGTAGGGTGGAGGAGAATAGATCATAGAATAGAGAAAATAGAATACAACGTAGTAGGGTGGAGGAGAATAGATTATAGAATAGAGAAAATAGAATACAACATAGTAGAGTGGAGGAGAATAGATCAGAGAGAAGAGAAATAGAATACAATATAGTAGAGTAGAGGAGAATAGATCAGAGAGTAGAGAAATAAAATACAAGATAGTAGAGGAGAATAGATCAGAGAGAAGAGAAATATATGTTGATACTTACCACTGTTATACTAACAGCATCATCAAACTGTTTCATAAAAACACTTACTACTGCTGATGCCAATAAGAGTAATATTAATGGATCTTTAAACTGAAATATTGAAATACATCATTTTAATACACTGTCTTTTTTTTGTATTCATCATAAAATATTTGAATAAAAACACAATAGAAAGAAAACAATCTGATGCAAATGCAGTCTACCTTGTTAAATTTATGTTTTTTTTTTCAGGAATTATTCCTGAATATGCTTAATATGCCGCCCATCTATGCTCTAACCAAATTCTTCTTTGAGTTTAATTTATCAAAATTCTAATTTTATAAGACACCATTTAATATAGACTGTATATCAATGTTTATGTTGATAATGAATATAAATTCCTCGTTTTTAGTCAGTCAATCTGTTTTTTCAACAAAGAATTTCATTAGTAAATATTTAAATGAAGTATAACATTTGTTGCCTCATAATTCAAATCAGCATTTTAATCAGATCATTAACAGCAAACATCACTATATTAAATAAACCATTTCTATCATGGGGAAGTGTCACGTTTTATATTGAATATTTTTACAATCACTTTTGATAAGTCTTTAATACAGATACCTTGACTACATAAATAAACAAATAAATGTAGCACTCTCTGTATATGCTCCCAATCATGATACAATTCTTGAGATACTTAGCAAAACATATTTGATTAATTAAAAATTGTCAGTTTTTTTGCTTTGTGTACATGAATTTAAAAGAATTTACACGAATTTTTAGACATGTATATCCTAACTTAACTTGAAATATCACTTTTATTGTTTCTGGGCAAATTTAGTCCCATATATTTCACTAACTAAAAGTTGTAGTAATTAACCTTTACCTGACAGTTCTATAAATGTTCCTAACCTAGCCAATAGAAGATCAATAAATTCTTCATTTCTTTTGGCCTTGCTCTAGTAAAAATACAATATGTTGAATCCTAAATCAATAACTGATGAATGAAGGAAGGATACTACTTGGCAATCTTTATAAGATGCAGTCAAGACTTATAAGCCTAACTTCCTTATAGTGAAATCATATCATAACACAATAACAATCAATCAACTAATGAAGTAAGTCATAATTAACTTCAATATCAAAGATGGGTTACCCTATTTTAATTTATAATATAAGCTTATTGAAATTTTCAAATGGTCCGCTGTCAAGCCGATTTGAGTTTTTTGTTTTCTTAAAGACTTTCTTCATACACAATCATTTCTTTAGATTCAGAATACATGGATAATTCATTATAAACAACAATAGTCAAAAAGTTTCTGCTCCACCTTACTGTAAAATTACATAAAGCCATCTTTAATAAACAGTTTTCATAAGGCCATTTTGTTTTTATTACTTGGTTTACAGATTTTTTTTTTGTTAACCATGGATGTCGGAGGACGAAATAAATAAAATTAAAAAATGGACCACCTGAAATTTATTTTATATTATTCTATACTACCTAAAAATATCAGTAGCTATGGAGGGAATAAAAAAAAAATTTAAAATCGGAAAGCCATGGTTAAAGTTTTAAAAAAGATTTTCATGTTGGACTAGAACGTTTTGACCATATGTACTTGCTGTGAAATAGGCCTACAGCATTTTAAATGAGTGTTTATGTAATATGAAATTTGCCAAAGATATTCTAAGACTAACAATACTACTTTGAATCTTCTCTTCTACTTCTACATATATGGCAAAAATTCAAAAACCGTTTAACTTGCACAGAAAATAATTCTACTTTCGTTTATATATCGAGATATAAACAAGGCAGTCTATGATGAGTATGACTCATCCAGCAATAGAAAATAAGTATTCATTGCATTTTCAGTTATTAATGCAGACCCTTAAAGTTTGTTAAAATTTATAAATTATGAATAAATATTGCTTAAATAAAATACTATTTTTTAATTAATCCAGGAGTGAGTCTAGATAATAAAAATCCGTACAAGACAAGCAAAACAATTCCAATTGCCTACATATTTTTCAATAAAGTGAGTCCCCAAGTACTGCAGTTTGAGCACGTTAAAGATCCCTTGACAATTGAAAAAATCGAAAATAAGAATCGCCAACTGAAAACTGCAGGACGTTTGCATGTCCTACTCATGCTACTGTCTATGGTCAGAGTTGTTTTGTATTCAAGGGAGATAATATACCTGTCTGTGTCAAGGTCATAACACGAGAAATATTGGAAAGATAGAACAAAACCCAGAGGAATCGTGTCAGAAGATTTGTAGTCTAGTTACACGAAAATAAAAGGGGTTTTTGTATTTTTATTTCCACAACATACATGTATGGAAACGTTACTGGTCAGTGGGAACTACACCAATAAAAAAAAAACTTGCAAATAAAAATTTTTATTTTCATTTTACAAAAAGTAACGTTGGCGGATCCGTAAACCAAATAATAAAAAAAAATGGCCTTATCAATATTTCTATGCTAAATAGATTAATCTAAACTTCCCCCATTTCCTCCACTTGAAATTGTGGCTTGAAATCACCACTAATCCTCAATGGTTTTTATCTAAAACAGGTCAAAGGAATGGTTCATGCCCATGAAGTCACCGCTTGGATCTTAATTAACCATGTAGAAACCAAAGATAGCTTGCGAGGCAAGGTAACATACGCCCACTGGCAGCTGTCAGAAATAATAAAACAGTCTTTAGTGACTAAAGTACAAATTTTCTCATATTGAAGAAATTTTATTAGTTTGAATTCAATGATATATATATATATATATACCAGTTATTTATCCTTAGTAATTCTACAAAATTTTTAAAGATAGCTTGCCATGCAAAGTAACATACGCCCACTGGCAGCTGTCAGAAATAATAAAACAGTCTTTAGTGACTAAAGTACGTATTTTCTCATATTGAAGAAATTATTTATGCTGAATAATTCCACGAAATTTTTTAAAATCAATATCAATAACCCAAATACAACAAACAATTAAATCACACAGCTCTAATCAAGGGCAAAAAACAACTTTTGATGTGTGTTTACCAAGTCAAGAGCAATAACTCAAAAAATGTTCATAAAAAATATCTCTTGTTAGAACTTGTCCGAGATCTTATCAATTCCAATGATCACAACAAGTTTCATCAAAATCGGTTGAAAACTGTAGCTTCTATTGTGCTCACAAACAAAGTTTGACGCCTTTTTCGTAAGTTAATGGCAATAACTCAAAAACATTTCATCGCAAAATGCGTCAAGTTAGAACTTGTCCGAGATCTTATCAATTTCAATGATCACACTAAGTTTCATCAGAATCAGTTGAAAACAGCTTCAATCCTGCTCATGGACTATTTTTAACAAATTTCGACGCGTTTAACAAAGTCAAGGGCAACAACTCAAAAACCATTCATCGCAAATGCGTCAAGTTAGAACTTGTCCGAGATCTTATGAATTCCAAAGATCACAACAAGTTTCATCAGAATCAGATGAAAACTGTAGCTTCTATTGTGCTCACAAACAAAGTTTGGCGCGTTTTTCGTAAGTTAATGGCAATAACTCAAAAACATTTCATCGCAAAATGCGTCAAGTTAGAACTGTCCGAGATCTTATCAATTTCAATGATCACACTAAGTTTCATCAGAATCGGTCGAAAACTGTAGCTTCAATCCTGCTCATGGACTATTTTTAACAAATTTCGACACGTTTTACAAAGTCAAGGGCAATATCTCAAAAAACGTTCAAATTCAAAAATATGTCAAATTCGAACCAAGTTTTATCAAAATCAGATGAAAACTGTAGTCTCTATAGTGCTCACAAGAAATGTTGACGGACGGACCGACGGACAGGGGCGACAACAATATACAACCACATATTCATGTGGGCGTATAAAAACGGTGACATAGTGGGAATTTTGTCAAAAAAATGGATTTTGAGAACAATAGGATTACTGGATGTTATCATAGTACGCTTAAGCCGATGTAATCGGGTTGTAGCCAATTAACAATATTCTTTAACTAATTCATTTATTTACAACATTTACTATTTCAGTTTTAACAAATGTGTTACAGAATCTGCAAACTTGTATACATTTAGTACGTTATTTCTATACTGTTCTATGTTATTGGTAAGTCTTGATTCAAGTGTCTTGTATTTTCGTTTTTTGGGAGGTTGCTGCTGATCGGCTGCATACTGCACCATCCTTATTTCCATGGCATCTTGCTCTTCTTTCAAGAAATTAATGATTTCGAATATGTTGGTGTTGGCTTTTCCTACAAGTTTCTTTACACGGCTATGCCAGTCTTCTAAGTTGTTGTTGATTCTTGGGGTGTCCGAACCATAATGGTTCCATTCATGTAATCCATAAACCCCCTCCAACCATTGACTTGTAACGTAGTCTGCAAGTTCTACTAATCTGAGGTCGTCTGGCATATCACCCATGGCATTGATAAAAACATCCCACACCATATCGTATGGAACCATTGGTAATACCAAAGATGCCAAACAATGAGTGACACTGATAATTAGTCATGTTAATAAATAGTGAACGATTGTCATGAATTTATGTCACCGTTAATGAGCTCTTAACAACTTTAATCCCGTAGCGGCATAACTGTAAACCATCAAAGAAAATAAAATGGTGACTTAGTGGGAATTTGTAATTTTCTAGCAATGACTTTGTGGGAAGGCACCAAAGGAATAAAGTAATAGGCATTTTAGTATTTATTTTAACACTTGATAGAGCTCAACTCAACCATAACACTGAACAATAGCGTAAATGTGCAGACTAGACAGATCTGAAAACAGGTCATCTGATTATTACCAAATTCAAATTTGACTACAATAAAACCCATATATATATATAAATATAATGCATAAGCTTACCAATGAATACTTAGTTTCATCAAGATTGGTTATAGTTTGTAATCACTATCATATCTATGCACTAAAATTGAAATCTTTTAGTACCGGTAAGCAAAGGGCAATAACTTAAAACATCTAATAATTGCCAAATTCAAATTTACTGAGATCTCATCAATATACACACATTTCCGTGTAAGCATTTAAAAATGATAAACAGAAACCTGAACTTAAGCTGTCAGATGCTTAATTAAATATTTAGAGTACTTTACTATTCCAAGGAATTTATTTCATATTCCTTACTTTACAACACAATCGTGATATATTTCTTTACAATCCACAGAAGTTTGTACACATATATTATATCATGTTTATATAACATGCAACTCAACTCTACATTAATCTCTTTTCAAGCAGAATAATAATAAAGATTTATTTTATTGAAATAAAATCCAGTATGTGCATTTTTCATTCATCAGTAAAAGAAAATCTGTTAAGGAGAATATAACTTCACATTGTCACCAACGAAATACCAACCTAGATTGATCAGTAATTCAAAATACCTCCTTTGTGTACAGCAATCCTTTTCATTTCTACCCTACAAATGCTTTTAGCAATTCAAAGACGTGAAATCTTTTGTCCAATCTTTTAATATCATATTTCACCCCTCTACCTTAAAGATTGTCATCATAACAAGAGTTCACTCAAGCTTGTTACATAACTACCACAAATTGAAGAATATTGTCCCTGAATCTTAAATGGAAGGTCATTCAAAAAACTGAACTTTTCGGATGAATAATATAAAAATACGTAATTTACTGGTGGCTTCACAGCAAACAGAATGCAAACTTTTACAGCATAAACTAACAATGTTTCAGCATGCATAAAATAAAAAAAAACGAAAACAACATCTGAATAAACCGCAGATGTCAACTGTTCATGTATGAACATCTGGAGCACCTTTACGTTCATTAATATTTATCAACTTTACAAGAATCTTATCTTCTTTGCTTTTAGACATTTTGCATACCTTCTTTTGTCTAGATTCGGCTTTTGCCAGGTATTAAAATTTCAGATGATGAAAATATGAATATTTTTACAAAATGAAGGGTATTAGAGAAAGTGGCCATCAGAAGAAGGATACAGGCCACTCTTTAACATCCAGCAATACAATGGTTTACTGTACATGGAATAATTTTCAAGCTTCCATTAGAATCTTTAACAATATGTTAGATGTTATTGTTGGTTGAATCATTAACAACATTTGAATTATTGGAGTAACTAACTGCTAATTCTAAATCACATAGAGTTATCTCCCATTCAAAACCTGACATTGTTGAAGTTATATGTAATACATGTCATAAATTGTACAGAAGGAATCCATTATTAGTATTAATACATCTTGAAAGTTGTCAACAATCATACATGTCCAAATTCATTTTGACACCTAAGTTGTTTAAAATATTTACCCAGAAACCCAGTCAGAACAAGTTTGGCCTTATTATTACCACTAAAAAATATATTTATGGTTGGTCCTATCCTTGAATATGTATATATAGATTCATAAAAAATCATATTTAACTTTGGTCATAACTTAGTTATAGTTGACAATTATTTACATTTGTTCTAGTGGCTAAAGTCACATGAAAACATTTGCTATCATAACAAATATGTACCTATTCCAATTTTCTATAAATGAATATTAATGAAGGTAATATGATTTGCGTCATAGCCAATCAGAACTCGTTTCTTGAACTTGTGGTTACCTCATCATTCGGGAACCGTGTGCAGAAACTTTTATTCTGCACGGCTTGACTCCTATCAGAGTGTTTGGCATAATTTAGTATTTGTTAAGCCCAACTGGAATATGAGTTAAGGGCTATTGTTATTATTTAGATATATGTAGACTCATATTTCAATACTTTTAATCTTTAATAAAAGATCTTCACACCAACCATTTCTTCTCATTGTGTTAAGGGAGTTGGAGGGGACGCAAATGAATTTTACTGGATATACAAGCTTATACCAACAAATACTTCCTTTTTAAAGCAAAAAAGTATAAATAAATAATAATAAGTCCTTACCTGTCCAAGGTATTTTTTCCATAATGGTTCATCTTGTGATATTTCAAAATCATTGACACCATACAACTTTAATCTTTGTTTAGCTTCTGTTTCAGTGAGGCCATGATCCAGGCTTGTCTTTAAGATATCCGCTATTTCTTCATAATCTAAGAGACAAGCCCTTTCTGATTTAAAACTGGCCATCATGTCTTCTTTTTTGTCCTCACACTGCAAAAAAAAATAGTCTGTAAATTGATAACACATGAAGCTATTCTAAAAGAACACAGAAATGATAAATTTATCACATCTCATTGCCAGAGCACTCTATTATCTATTTCTTTATTAAAATAAGACAAAGCTTTTGTCCATTCTTTTATTTTTAAGTAGCCACTACAGTTAGGGTCTTAAGGCTAACTTTTTTTTCTTGTATCAATGACATTTGACCCATGATTACATTTGCAAACACATCTTGTACTCTAATCAACTTTTCAAACCTATAAAATATATCATTTAATTAAAAATTCTTAATTTAATGCAAATGTGATGGGCAATAAATAATCTAGACCAATTTCATTCAATTGTTCAAAACATCATTTTGCACATCAAAATACAGCTTTCGATAAGTTAATTCATATCATTTTTTTTTTAGGCCAATTAACTTTATCAAATGCATTAGAGCACTGTCAAATATGTAGAGCAATGTATACATGATTAGAATCCTATCAGAAGCTCACCTGTCATGTGTTCAACTAAATAATATAAACATAAAACAGCATTATTGGCATCTTTCAGATAGTAAAAACTAGAAAATAACATTTCCAATCAGCTCTGAAGTTAGGTATTCAGATGCCAAAAATTCGAGACAAATAAACAATAGATTACAATTAAGCTTATACCTGACACACGATACAGACCAAGTAACAATGAAACCAATTTGGTAAAAAATAAATAGATAATTATTAACTGTATATGGAATAATATTCATCCCAATATATCTCAGTAAAAAACCAATATCAATAATAATACAATAATGCATGGTTGACCAAAAGATAAATGATATAATGAATATATATATGGAAATGAGTAAAATCATTAAAACGTGTCAAATTCTTTCTAAAACATATCTGATTAAGCTCTGTATGTTTACCAAGTTTCACATTCACAGAATATACATTCACAACAATCAACAAGGCCATAGGCATATTAAAAGCATGAAAAATGGACTATATACATCATACTAAATTAATCCAGATTTAATCTCCATTGCATTCACAAGCCAATTTTAGTTGCAATTGCAAATATAGTTGGATTGCTACTAATACAGATAATCCAAAAAAGCCAATAAAAAAAATGATACATTATGGATAAATAATAAAAACACAAAAACAGAGTCATAACTCTATCTACCTGTTTTCTTTTAAATATTGTTAAAAAAGATTTCACTTTGTTTGTTAAGGACTCCATATTGTCCAAGATAAATCCAATGACTAACTATGAAGTTGAGAGGTTACTGTAGGTTAAAGTGATGTGATTTTGTAGCCTGAAGGCATGTCATATATCTATTGTTTCTCCTACAATACACCCAGTAGTTTTATTACACTTTAAAGTTGGCACATATCAATATACTGTATGATTGATTGGTATATATGACAATCTGTTAAGTCATATTTATGCCTAGATAATTTATATACTGGTAATATCAAATAAATAGGTCAGGTAATTCTGTAACAAATGCTCCAGACAATTAATTACACTTCTTCTTTACCTTTTAACAAATTCAAATGTTCTTTAACACAAGTCTCTGTTAGATTATTGGAAGTAAATTTTCACTCTATCCAGCGGAAACAGTTACAGCCAGTATACTGAACCATGGTATGAAGAACATATGTTGCTTCTATTTGAGTGAAAAGTGTACAAAATAAAAGTGATATAGTTTTGAAAAAGACAATTAAAAATATCAGATCATATCTCTGGGACTTTAATTCAAATGTCATAATAATCAAACTTTCTGTAAATAGTGTCTAATGATGACATTATGTCAATCACAATATGATTATATAAAACATTTAGAATGACAAAATTAGCTTAATCAAATGTTGTGAGTATTGTAACATCTCTTTGTTGTTTTGTTGGTGTTGGAAATCTTATTGTAACAAAATAATCCATCAAATTGTAGAGATCTATTTCTTCTTATTCTGAAAGTTTCAACAAAAAATATCAACTGAAGCCATTATAATGTACAACTAGTATAGATCACACTGCTTAATTAAAAAATGTTTTTAATCACCCTCTTTAAAACTAATTCAGGTTGATCAAGTGTATATATGGAAGAAAATAGCACATTTTAGAAATCTTTTTATGTATAATTCATTAAATTATTACAAAAATTGTGTATACTGCCCCTTTAATATCCCTAGTATATATTATTTCAATTACAAACATAATTCTAATATTAGACAGAGGCATCAATATCAAACATTAAACAGATTAGTATTAGCATCTAAAACAATATTACTACAGAATTCTTGAAAATATATCATAGTTTGACTACCTAGAACATTCAATGTCATTACATGAAATATCTACTTGTTTATCAATGGTTCTATTTAAATACTGTAATCAAATGGAAAAATATGAAAAGAAAAGTTGAATGCTACATAAAATGATAAGAAATGTTGAGTATTCAAAAATAAACATATTGTTTTTAATGTAAGAATAACATTCCTGAATAGGTATGGTCTATACAAGTCAATAAGGTTGGTCGTTTACAGGCTCATTAAAGCATAGCTTACTGCATTAATTTTAGTAGCGCATCAATAAACTTCAGATTTACAATATTTATGAATACATTACACCTGAGGCATTGATTTTATTGACTGTGCCTGCTGGATTCAACATAGCTTCCTATGGGGTAAATATTTTAATCTCATTAATACATAAATAATATAGATTCTAAATTAAAATCTATTACAATCAAAAGAAAGACAAAATGTACAGAGAAATGTGAAAGCTAATTTACATAGAACATGATCATAGAGAACATGATTTTATCTATTTTTATACAAAAAATCTGTCAAAATGTCAAATAAGTATATTCAAGATCACAAGGTGTCATTAATATGATAGATGAGGGACAAAATTTGGAGGGAAAGTAAAAAAAAAATAAAACAAGTCACATTATCTAATCAATCAATCATTCAGATGTAAAGATACTCTTTTCAATGGTTTATAGAGAAATGACATCTTTATACATTAATACCTCATGTTTGGCTTATGCAGCTTTACAAGTGTTTTTATGATTTCCATGAATACAAATTCTCTTAATATGTGTACGCTTAAGCTTATTGCCTTTATTATTTCTGAGAAAAAAGACCTTTAAAGTTTAACATATATTTCGAAAACCATGTGAGTAGGCCAATAACCTCCTAACTGTTAGAAATCTTAAAAGATAGCATGCCAAGCAAAATAATATGTGCCCACTGGCACCTTTGATTTTGAATTAAAATATTTGGCAGTACAGTATCAGTAACCAGTATTAAATATTCAACCTTCAGTCTTACACTTCTTTTTGGGGCTGTAATGAAGGTGCCTCCTAGAATGTTAACATGCTAAAAATTTATCATGTTTTGAAGAACAAGGGCAGTAACTCATATCAAAGGGACAGTTGTGCAGTTTTGAGGGGTTGATTTGAATCTTGAATATATATGTAAATAGTCTTCAGAATTACTAGAATTTTGATTTATCGGATTTTCTATAGGGTTCATCCTCGGTTGAAACAAATACTCACACCAAGTTTTATCAAAATCCCTCAAGAATTGTGCCTTCAAGAGCTAAAAACGCGTTTACAAGAACAAAGGCTATTACTCATATCAAATAGTTTCAATATTGACAGATTTTCAATAAAGTTCATTTGGGTGACTAACACTAAGTTTTGTCAAAATCAGGCAAGAATTATGCCTTCTAAAGTACGAGTCAAAGTCATGTTTTTAAGAACAAGGGCAATAATTTTCAATAGGGTTCATCCTAGGGTTAAAAACACTTCACACCAAGTTTTGTCAAAACTGTCAAGAATGGTGCCTTACAGGCAATTGTGGATGGACCGAAGGATTGACATTTCATGAGGGCAAAAAAAGAATCAAACATGGTAAGCTTATTTAAGACATTTTTGTAACTTAAGTACCAGTCTTATTTTATTATAAAGAAGAAAGCTAATCTCTATTTCACCCTCTGATAGATATTTTGACAGTCAGACAAACTGAGCCCTGTTTCATAGAAAGCCTACTTTCGAAGATTATATGTAACATATTATCTACCTTTACAATAACTGTAAATTAGTGTTGAGTGTCACCAATATATAGAAAAGAAATAAGTAGAAATAGTGAGTAAAATTCCTAGTTTGAAGTATCTTTAAAGAAATCAACGTGTAATTTTCGAACATTTTAGTTCTTTTGCAGACTATTTACATACATTCAAGGCTAAAATCCCCCCCCTCCCCCCCAAAAGGCACACCTCTCCCACTAAGGCTGCTATTTCATTCCTAATAAAAAATAATGAACACAATTCAATCAACTTTTTTTTTAATAGGCTCAGACAACATAGACATTTAAACCTCTGTCAAAATGAATCTCAATTTGACCATAAATCATAAAAATACAATATTTTCATAATTCATGTTGAGAATGTCATGGTAGAATTTGCTGAATGAAGTATAGTTACATTCACTCTAGTCTTGACTGTATGTGAGTTTACGTCCCAAATAGAATGGCTTGAGTGCCGTCAGTCATTCCAGTATCACAGACACGTTCGTTTCCGGTGGCAAACAAATATATTTCATACATACCGTTACTTTTTCATAACAAAATCTGTCATCAAATATATTCTTTTTAATGAATGGAGTATGGATGCTCAATTTGGACATCTTTCATCCATTTTAAAAAGTAAATTTAACAATATATCTTCAGTTTATGTTTTTAATCTGTCAACGAAATTAATTTTCTAAATAAAACACCGTTCAGATCTTTTTTGAAAGGAAATCCAGCTAAGGGGAATAACTATTAACACTTGAAACTGTATCAGACAACAAACTAACATTCATGTGCATTAACCCAACTCCGATTGTTTATTACGTTGCCTTCGGCAATGTCTCTGGTACAGAGATAAAATCTTTTCATTTAAATGTAATATAGAATATATTATAATTACAAAAATCCATGTTATGTTTGGCATAACATTTTGACAAGAATGACAAATGTCTTCTGTGAATCAAGATCCCATAAACCCATATTTGTCATAAAAATAAGGCCCATAAGTGCCAAGAACAAGAACTTCTCAATATCTTTTGACCTAAAATAGTTAACTACATATAACTATAAGATAGCTTGCCAGGCAAAGTAATATACGCCCACTGGCAGCTTTGATTTTAAAGCATTTTAAACATTTGGAAGTACAGTAACAATTACCAGTATGATATATTCAACCTTCAGACATACACTTCTTTTGAACTTTTTGAGGCGATGCTGAATAATATTACCAAGTTTCGTCAAAATCCGTCATGAACTGTGCCTTCTGTAGTGCTACTAATTGAACGTGTTTTCAAGAACAAGGGCAATAACTCATACTAAATATTTTTCGATTTTTCTGATTTTCAATAGGGTTCATCCTTGGGTGATTATAAACACTCACACCAGATTTTGTCAAAATCCATCAAGAATTGTGCCATCTAGAGTGTTTATGAGCTAAAAATTGAACGCGTTTTAAAGAACAAGGGCAATAACTCATACTAAATATTTTTTGATTCTTCTGATTTGAAATAGGGTTCATCCTAGAGTGATTACGAACACTCACACCAAGTTTCGTCAAAATCCATTGAGAATTGTGCCTTCTAGAGTGTTTACGAGCTAGAAATTGAACGTGTCTTAAAGAACAAGGGCAATAACTCATACTAAATATTTTTCGATTCTTCTGATTTTTAATTGGGTTCATCCTTGGGTCAAAATCCGTCAAGAATTGCGTCTTGTAAAGTGTTTACGAGCAATAGTGGACGGACCGACGGACATGGGTGACGGCAATATACGCCCTCCATTTCATGTGGGCGTATAAAAATGATCATTTATATTTTTTTATGGCCTAGGCCTTCTTCTTGGCATGAATTTTTGCAAAGGCCACATCGTTTTTAAGTAGATGCTTCTTCATTAACCTGAATGTCAAAGGTTCGATTCCTTCATGGGTTGTTATATTATCTTTCTTTTATATTGTTTCATTAGTAATATTATCTTTCTTTTAAATTGTTTCATTAGTAATATTATCTTTCTTTTAAATTGTTTCATTAGTAATATTATCTTTCTTTTATATTGTTTCATTAGTAATATTATCTTTCTTGTAAATTGTTTCATTAGTAATATTATCTTTCTTTTATATTGTTTCATTAGTAATATTATCTTTCTTTTAAATTGTTTCATTAGTAATATTATCTTTCTTTTATATTGTTTCATTAGTAATATTATCTTTCTTTTAAATTGTTTCATTAGTAATATTATCTTTCTTTTAAATTGTTTCATTAGTAATATTATCTTTCTTTTAAATTGTTTCATTAGTAATATTATCTTTCTTTTAAATTGTTTCATTAGTAATATTATCTTTCTTTTATATTGTTTCATTAGTAATATTATCTTTCTTTTAAATTGTTTCATTAGTAATATTATCTTTCTTTTAAATTGTTTCATCAGTAAGCAGTAAAGGAAATGTGTCTAAATTTTGGATAGGAACATAATCTGAATACCATGAGCATGTTAAAGAATCCTCGATAGCTGGAAATCAGATCAGATTACAATAATCAGATGGCAATATTTCCATCTTAGAACAATGCATGGTGATGCCTGTGTCCCAATCAGGAGCAGAATATAAAGCTTCAACTCAATTTCCAAGTCAAATGTAGGCTACAATTTCAAATAGTTTGTTACATCTTTGCAAACTTTATAATCAATGTGTGAGCTTTAAGTCAATGGTCCTATATTCCAGTGTTAGACAATGCAAGCATAGAACAAAGTTCAAAGTGTTAATTTTTTCACAAAAAGTATTTTAGATTCTGATGTAATATTTTTATATTTCAATTCATAAGAGTTTTGTAGTTTGGAATAAAACAATATATATTTTGACCTTGCATACATTTTATTTTCATTTTTTTCTCATTTTTGGAAAATAAAATACAAAGTAATATCCTTTATACAAATATCATTTAAAAAATTAGACAATTGGATTACAGATCTAAGTTTTTGATAGCACAGACTAACTGCAATATGGTTTTATGCCAAAAAATAATTAAAAATAAACATGGTTTATACATTAATATTCTACATTTTCGTTGTAATGAAAAAAAAAGGGAAAACAGACCCTGCTGTTCAAAGTATCATTCCAACAATATCATGTAATTGGATTGGATTAATAACAAAAAAGGAATTATTTTACTATAGAATAATAATGCGTAATAAAAATAAACAGAAAAAGACATATTTTGGCACATGCTTTCGCCCATTCTTCTCTTCATTTCAAATGACTGAATACATATGCCTTATGTTTCACTTTTTTTTTTGAAAATATCAAAATACGGGAAAAGTATTTTCTTAAGAGCACTGTATTTATGATGATAAAAGTGATTGTGTAGCCAACTGTAACATTTTAACAGATCTGGAAACTGGGTCGTTAGGTCGGGAAGGTGTAAAGGTTCTGAGTTTATTTAATAAAGTATATAAAACTGATTTCATATGCTCTCTGGTTACTGGATTTTTGGTATCAAGATTCATTATAGCTTCTCCTAAATATCTGGAATAAAAAAATATTTTCATGATGAAATTCAAAGACATTTAGTTCCACACTATTCAATTTTTTCTACAAAAATATATTTGTCACTGTCAAGTTCATAAATCCTAAGACTGAGGTTTCAATGAACCCACAAAGAAACATTTTCTATGAAGTTTGAACAAGTATGTATTTAATGCATACTTACTTGATTTTAAGATCTGCATGTGAATGTAAATCAGCTGATAACTGTTGTACGAGTGATAACAATACAGGCTGATCTAGAACATTAGGTGTACTAAATACTACACTGGTATTAGCTTTCTGACAAACAAATACAACTAGCTCTAAATTACTAGCTGATAATGCCTGAAACAAGTGTAAAAGTTATTTGACAGAAATTCAGGAAACACACAAATATCAATACAAAAAAGAATTATACATTGTAGTATTCAATCAGTCTGGTATCTAAAAGTTTTTTTCAAAGCTCGCAACAATAAATAACATTTTACATAATATACATTATTCAAATATATCAAACAATTTGACTTCTTCTTGATGTTGTTTGACAAGCTTATATTTCAATTTCACTTATTTTCCTTAACTGTTAGAGATCTTACCTGTTGAAAGGCTTCATTGATTTTACCATTGTGTAGTAAATTAGACACACTAGCTTGTGTAGGGACGGTAGAAACAAATTCTGGAGAGACTTGAATTGGAGTAGCAGCACCAGATCGTAAATGGTTCATCAATTGACTATTAATAGATGCACTTTGTTCACGAATTGCCAAACTCACTTCTTCTTTTACAGCTGTTCTTATGTGCTGTAGTAATCTCTCTTGCATGCTGTAATAATGATAATAAAGAACATTGGAATACAACAATAAAGTCATGTGGGCTTGTTCAAAGCTCCTATAGATGTCTATTTGAAGCAATCCTGTTACTTATGATATTCAAACTTAAACTCATTTGGTAAAGTTAAGCATGTGTTTATAATGGTAAATTATTTTCTTTGAAGAAAACATACTTTCAGAAGATCTATTTCTGAAAAATATGTTTTGATTGCTACGTCAAGACATATTTGTCAGAAAAAGATCTTACAGGATACGAGATAAGCATAAAAGAAAACAATATCTTACGTTTCTGTTGATGTTTGAAGATGAGATTGTAATTCTGTTTGAACTGTTGATAATACTTGAGATTTATAAGATTCAGATGAACTACGGAAGGAATCAACCATTGATTGTAATTGTGATAACAATGGATCTCGACATTCTGATTGACGTTTACGAACTTGTTCAAGATGACTTTCTAAATGATTAGTATCTGGAAAAGAAAATATACAACATCAAATATCTTTTGTACTCTTGTGTTGTAATGGTGGTCAAAGGTGATTTGAATTACATACATGATAACTCAACTGTATATCAATGCTATTTGCTTTAAGAAAAGGAGAAAGGTAGAAAATATACATACATTCCCTTGTACCCTTGAAAAATGTATCATTCATTTGTTTAAACAGGTTTTGACTGGCTCTTTCAAAGGATGGTACCACCATATTTTGAAAAGCCTCTCTATAAGCAGCTTGTATTGGTGCCTGTATAGCATTACCAGCTGCCTGTCCTATAGCTTCCACAGTTTGCTGGAAAATACACAATCATAAAAGGAATTCAAAAAAAGTTTTGTAAAAACCAATGGAATGGAAATCAGCATAGTGGAATCAAATGCTTTCAGTGTCCTCAACACACACATGCAACAGCATCATTTGGAATCCTTTCAAGACAAAGTCTGATACAGTAAACACATTATGTATAAGTTCAGTTTTTCTGCGAACATAAAATGACAATATCATTTCCAATATGAATGCCATTAATCTTACCTTGGAGCGAACCATTTTAGCTATATTATCTTTTAATAAAGAATCTGTGGCTGACAGTTTCTGAGCTAACTCATGGTGATGTTGTTCTTTTATAGGTTCAAGAGTACGACTCACACCTGTTTGAATAAAAATACTGATTAGAAATAAGCATAGAAAGATTTTAATTCACTATCATTCCTATTGAAGATAACTTTTGAACACTGATTTTTTCTTAAGTTCTCAGGAACCATGATAACAAAAGTCATAAAGAAGTCGCACTGATCATGATAAGCACAAGACCAGCACGAAAGGTATTCAGTCTCAAAGTTGTAATTTGATCCATCAGAAATATATGAATTTATACTCGGGAAACTTTAATGAAACTTACATGGTAAAACAGTCTGTTTGATTTCAGCTCTAACTGATTTATCTAATCCTTTAGTAACAGATGAACCCACTGTTTCTATTATAGATCCATGTAATAACTTTTGTTCTCTTTTATGTCTATTATCCATCTCACTTATTAAATCTTTCAATCTCTGGTGTATGAAAGTTAAAGAACAACAAGAATGAAAGTATAACAGTAGATAATGTCAGTGTCACTTTGACATTTTAATACATATCAACACTACTGAAATCTTTGATTTGAAATATTAGTTGATCTTTGACAATCTTAATTATTTCTGAGATAACTGACAGAAACAACGAAAAAATATAAAATATTAACAATATCGTCATTTGATTGATGATACTGTCATTTTATTAAGTCAATCATATGCATATCAGTAATCTTCATAATTTCCACAGAAATGTGCCTTTGTTTGCAACACACATAAGTGGAAACCTGCAGATATACGAAAGAAATGCAATCAATGAAATTGCAAAGGATATTTTCATTTTGAAGATGTGTAGATATGGCACGTTCCACTCTAGAAGTAACAACATCTTCAACTTTGCCAAGATGTTCTTCTAAATTAGCTGGTGCTCCTTGTTGTGTTAACTGGACATGTTCTAATTGTTGATGTTGTAGGTTAATCTGTATATCATGTTGATTTATCAATTGTTTTTGTAACTCAGTAATCTGCTCTTGTTGAGCCTTCATAGCTTGTACTATTAAGTTGATGTTGTTGTGCAGCTAAAAAATTTAATAGACAAAAATTGAACTCTTTTCAATTACTAAATTCTGTGGATGCCGCTATTAAATGCAAGGGCTTCTCAGTATTGCATCAGACGTAATAATTCTATTCTTGTTCAATTTAGATTGAAAAATTTGATAAGCAATTCATCACATCAAATTTCAGTTTTGGCTAATCAAGTTAAATTTTGAATTGCAATTTTTCGGTAACAATTCAAAATCGATCTTGCCAATGACAAGTTCCTTACAGTTTGAGTCTACCTAGCTGTTTCTTCTGTAGACTTCACAGAAGATTTTTATGAAAATTATAATTTGCAGATTATCATGATAAATTTAAATTTTGGCTTATCAAAGGAGATATTAGATCACAAAAGAAGGCATTTTGATAATGTTTACATTGAACCCTGGATTTTATACAAACAAGGTTTTTTAATTCAAAGGAGTATCTTACATCTTTTAAAGCAGTTTGATCTACAACTTCTCTTGTTTCATGTATAACTTCTCTTATTATCTTCTCTCTGAAGATAAAATTTGTGTCCAATTCATTTCTTACATTGAAGAGTTAGTCAATTGATCTTTATTACAGATGATATAAGGATGATGTTTGGAATTTCCTATCAGTGTATATAAAGTTCACGGGTGCAAGACACAATATAAAAAAAAAAAAATTAGAAATAAGTTAGAAATGAAGCATAATGATATTAATTCAAAATTCTAAACTGTATATCTTTAAAGATAGTGGACCACAGCCATATACACCCACCATGGCATGCAGATGGTAAATATTCAAGATTTTGGGGCCAGGGCAATAACTCTGCTTCTAATGGTCGAAAATAGTTCGAACTTGATCTTCATTTTATGAATATGTATACACATACCGAATTTAATTTGATTCCATCAAAAAATCGAGCCCTTAGAGTGTTTACAACGGACTGAAGGATCTTCGTTTCATGAATATGTATGCACATATCGAATTTCATTTGATTCCTTCAAACACTCTAGTTTTTAGAGTGTTTACAAGCAATTGATGTTGATAGAAGCACTTACTGTATAGAGGTTAAAGGGTGATAACTCCTCAAAACTGAGGTAAGAGTCCTAAATCTTGAAAAAGCCTTAAATTTAATCAGAAGTAAACTAAGCTTTCTCAAACCTTTCGATTTAGGTCCAATAACATCCATTTTAAGTTTCATCAAAATCTGTTGAAAACTAAGAGAGTAATAGCATATTCAAGATTTTGGGGCAAGGGCAATAACTCTGCTTCTAACTGTCAAAAATAGCTCAAATTCGAACTTGATCTTTGTTTTAAGAATATATATACACATACCAAATTTCATTTGATTCCATCAAAAAATATAGTTTTTAGAGCGTTTACAAGCAAATGTTGACGGACGGACAGGGGTGCCGACAATATACGTCCACATAGAGAGATGTGGGCATATAAAAAGTTGTAATGTTACAATGAAGTACACAAACTTACTGTGGCTTTGAGTCTAGCCTATATGTATCACTACTGTCCTGTCTTAGTTCTTCATTACTGGTATCTCTTGTAGAGTTTATAGGCGAATCTTCAGTCTTAATTTCTTCTTCTATTTCTACTTCATCATCTTCATCCTCATTATCATCATCATCATCATCATCATCATTATCATCTTCATCATTATCATCATCACCATCATTTTGACTGAAAATAATTACAAGTACAGTATAATTTACTCATATAAACTTTTAGCTAATTAAGAAATGAAATTAAAAAATTATTGTATGTAAAATTCTCATTTTGGTTGTTTGAATCATTATTGTTATTTCTGACATATTGAATGATTTTATTATCCTATTTTAAAGATCTGAAACTTACACTTGCTGTATGGTATCAACTACTAATCTTTTAGCTTCAGCACTAACATCAGGGGGTTGTGGCCAAGCTGTTGGTATGGGGTTTTCTTCTGATACTTCCTCTTGTTGAGAAAATTCTCCAGTTTCTCCAATAGAAGCTTCAGTGTTTCCATGTATTCCAAGAACTTCAGCAACTTCTTGATCATCTTCATCATAAGCATCAGTCTTTCTTGTTGATTTAACCTTAATTTCTGCTTCATACCCACTTGTACTGGAAGTTGATTCAAATGACTGAAGGGTTCTGGTGCTGCTACCTTTAGTGTTGAAAAACTCCTCAAGGGCAGCCAATTGTGGGTTTGTAGGTTGGGGGTTCTCTGCTATATCACTCTTGATGGATCCTTTAGGTGTGGCTAAATCATCTTCTTCACAAGATGTTACAGGTGGTAATGGTACACTACTTGGAGTTAATTCTTGACTTCTGTTTAAGTTACTATCATGTACTGAGTTAGGTGTATTGATAAGAGTGCTACCAGGTGATATCATTGATATATCAGTTGAACTACGTGGTGAAACTAGATCATCATTCATAGTAACGTGAGTAAAAGTACTGGTATCAGATAAAGAACCTCTTACATTAACATCAACAGATGCTTTACTGAAAAAGATATCAACTCACTGTACTATGTAAATGTATGAAACAATTTTTTACATTAGATCTGAGACATAAAATTTGGAAATTTTTAAAGTATTCAGAAAATGAATCATGCTGATATAAAAACCTACCTTGGACTAGGAAGACTGGTAAAGGCCTCTGGTGTTAATAAGACATGTTTGGATATATCATTATTTACATCCCCTTCTGCTAGACTATTACTGTTACCATCAATACTCATACTAATATCAGATAATGTATCACGTAAACCTACAATACAATAAAGGATCAGGTCTGACTTCTCAGTGGACTTGATCACATGAAAGTCATGAGGTTACATACATGTGTAATCTACCGATGTTGTCGGGTTTCTACCGCTTTTGCATGTTGTCCACCGCTCTAACGGCGGGATACCCGATTCTATCAATTTTGTTTTTTTTCCTGATCAAATTTTCACGGGACCTACCAATGTTCAAATTCTCTACCATAAATCAACAAAATATCTATCATTACTTGTATCTTAATTGGCGGTAACATGCATTAATCTCATCACGTAATATCATCATTGCCTGATTAATTAATCCCCCAATTAAGATGGTAATTTGATCTATTTTCACCCGATAATGTGTATTTTAAGCCCACATTACGTGACACACTTTTTATAACAACATCCGGTAGATTCTACTTTCACTTTTACAATAATTTTTACGGTAGCCCTACTTTTACTAAAAAAAGAAATCTTGAAGTCTTCTCAGTGTCAATCTGTGAGGTCTATATTAGGCCTATATAACATAAGACGTCGTTTCAGAATTCTTTTTCATTATCGGTAGATTATCATACGCGACCGGATGTCTAATTCTTATGTGAACTCAAACTTCGTTTCATAACATCGTTTTGTAATTTTACTCACTTTCCATATCATATCTGAAGAATGTCAAAATGGAAACGGCAAATTTGGTTCAATACTTCGTGAGGGTATTGCAGGAAAAGTATTTAATGATTGGACTGGAGATATTTTAGATGTCATGAATTACACCTTTAGAAAAGGTAACATTGCCAGTACATATTATTTACTAAATATTGCTTTCAGAACATACTGATTTTTTTAATATGGCATTACAAATATGATGTAGGACTACCGGTACCATTTAATTTAGAGGGCTGGGATCGTGCTTGATTTCTTGTTTTCAAACATCAGTTCACCTTGACATTATTTTTTATTCAATCAATACTGAAGAATGACAATATCAAATTGTTTCTTGGGCCCCTAAATTTGAAATATCAGGCACTATTTCTAGAATTATCCCTCATTATAGATTGTTAATTTTTACTGTGTCATGTAGGCCTATGATCAATTTAATTAATTTACAATGCTTAAAGCTTATTTTTAAAAAAAAAAATGAAAAAAAGAATCAATTTGGTGTTTCCATGATGTCAAGGTGAAGGCATTTTTCTCTATATTCATAACTTCCTAAAGTAGTAAATACGAGAAAAACCTAATATCGAATGGAAATTCACAACATTAACCCTGTGAACACGGTAATCACGAGAGGTATCGAACGCAGCATTAGTCATGGACAATAACTCAAAAACCTTCAACGAAAAATCTACAGATTTCAACTTAACCAAGATCTCATCATGACAAATGATAACACCAAATTTCATTAAAATCGGATGAAAACTGTACTCTTTATCACGTTCACAAGCGAATTGTGATGGACTGACGACAATATACGACCACATTATAATGGGGGCGTATAAAAAATTAAAGAAAGAACTTACCTGTATCATCGTGAGATACAGAACTAACAGAGGGAGGTGATGATATAGGAACAGAACTCTCTGGTTTATATCTTATCAATAATTCTTGTAATGATCTAAACAGAATTAAACAGAAAATCTTAAATTTGGATAGAAGAAGTCTTTCAGGTGGCCATTGAGGACAACCATAATAACTATTCAAATCCATAACAATCAACATTAAAGTATTGTAGAAGTAAAATGGAAATACCTGGTATGGACAGAATAGAGACGAACTTGAACACCATAACATGCTGATGATATACCATCTTCTAACTCTTCATCTTCACCACCTAGTTCACCTGATAATATACATGATATTGTATCTTATACATCTAGTTCAACTGATAATATACATTATATTATATCTTATATATCTAGTTCAACTGATCTTACTGTTTCTTACTGTAAACCGGTCTTTTATTAAGCTTGTAGACTTCTTGACCACCATATATAAGAGTCTAAAAAATTCACGTACTATCCTGAGTTACGAATGTCATATGGAGTGCGCATTTTTATACATGTAATTAATTGTGTTCATTTCACAGGTTATAGTCTATAGATGAAATTTTTCAGGGTCGTTTTTCCATGCCAAGATTAGATTAGATTTAAAATTGTTTAAAGATTTTGAATTGACCACATAGCTAGGTAATGAGTTCCAACTGTCAATGGCACGAACTGAAAAGTAGTTTTTTCTGACATCCAATCTTGTGTGTGGCTTGTTCAGTTTAAGATTATGGCCTCTGGTGTTACTGTAGGTTGATATCGAGAACATGTTTTTGTCTACCAGTGTATCTATGTTGTTTAAAAATCTGTATATCTGGATACCATCAGCGCGTTTTCTTCTGTATTTAAGAGTGGGTAAACCTAGAGCTTTGAGTCTTTCAGGGTAGGTAAGATCTCTTAAGTGGGGAAGTATCTTTGTCGCTCTTCGTTGGACATTTTCAACAGATAGGCTGTCTTTTTTTAACATTGGGCACCAAACTGTTGCATCATATTCCAGATGTGGTCTGATTAGGCTTTTGTACAGGGGCAAAAATATATCTTTGTCCATGTTAATGAAGGTTCTTCTTGTCAGTCCTATTAACCTGTTAGCTTTCTTTACACAATGAGATACATGTTCACTGAATTTAAGAGTGTTGTCTATTGTGATACCAAGGTCCTTTTCTGTACTGTCTTGTTGTAGTGGTTCAAATATGGTATTGTTTTTCATGTGGTATTGGTGTCTTGAATTATTATATCCAAAATGGATTGATTTGCATTTGTCGATGTTAAATTGCATTTGCCAGGTTTCTGTCCATTCAACCAAATTGTCTAAATCATCTTGTAATTGCTCTCTATCGTGTATTGTCACACTAGGGCCAAATAGTTTGGTATCGTCAGCAAACAGTTTCACAAAGGATCTAACAGCACTGGGGATGTCGTTGATAAAGATGATAAATAATACTGGACCAAGGACACTACCTTGTGGTACTCCACTTTCAACACTTGACCAGGTAGATGCTACGTTGTTTAAAACTACACGTTGTTTTCTATTGCTTAGGAAGTTTTCAATCCATTTAATGAGGTTTCCTCCTATACCTATCTTCTGTAGTTTCATCAATAATCGTTGGTGCGGTACTTTGTCGAAAGCTTTAGAAAAGTCTAAATATATCACGTCTGTAGGTGTTTGTTTGTCCATGGTATCAGTTAAATAGTCTAGGAATTCTAGTAACTGTGTTGTAGTAGATCGGCCTCTTCTAAAACCATACTGTTCATCACAAAGAAGATTGTTGTTCTCTAGATGTTCCATAAGTTTGTCCTTTACTATCGATTTTAAAGTCTTGACAATCAAACTGGTGAGGCTAATTGGTCTGTAATTTGATGCAAATTTTTTATCACCTTTTTTAAAGATTGGGGTTATGTTTCCTTCTTTCCATTGATCAGGAAGTAAACCTTCTTGTAGTGAGCTGTTGAAAATGATTTCTAATGGTGTTCCACGTTCACAGCTGAGCTCTTTAAGGACATTAGGGTGTGTTCCGTCCGGGCCAGCAGATTTGGTGATCTTTAGTTTTTCGAGTTTAGCAGATACCTGTTCCTTAGTTACGGTAACATCATTTAGTTTGGGTCCATTGTCGTTGGTTTGATAAGCAGTTGGTCTATTGGTGTCTTCGACTGTGAATACACTGGTGAAGAGAGAATTTAGTTCTGTTGCCTTGTTCATATCATCGGTAAGTGTCTCGCCACTTTCTGTAGTAATAGATACGATTTGGTTACGAGTTTTGGTCTTAGAGTTTACATATCTCCAGAAATTCTTTGGGTTGTGTCGTATATCCGAGGCTATTTCTCTTTCAAATTTATGTCGGGATTTGATCTGAATAGCAGAGGCTTTGTTCCTGGCAATTCTATAATTCTCGTAATTGCTAGTGGTTTTGTTTCTACAGTATTTGTTCCATGTCTTTCTTTTGATTTTAAGGGCGTTTATAACATCTCTGCTAAACCATAGCTTGTTACTTTTTCTGTTTGATAGATTGCGGGTTTTTGGTACATACTGTGTGATCAAGGAATCAAAGATGTTTTTGAAGTAGGTCCATTTTTCGCATGTTGTTGTTAGGTTCATCATTTCATTCCAGTTGATTTTACCTGTAGTAAGTCTCAATTGATCATAGTTACCAGCATAGTATCTATATCTAGTTTGGGAAGGGTTGTCTATTGATGCTTTAGTCTTCATGTCAAAAATAAACACCATGTGGTCACTTTTACCTAGGGGAGGGTGGCTTACTACATTGTGGATATCATCTTCATTCTTGGAAAAAACTAGATCAAGAATTGAGGGTCTATCGTTGTTTCTGATTCTGGTAGGTTCGGTAATATGTTGGTAGAGGAAATTGTCTTGTATACATTTTAAGAACTTGTAGGTAGTGGATCTGGGTTGACAGGATGTGGATCCATCAGACCAGTTGATGTCTCGATTGTTAAAATCTCCCAGTAATAGTAAATTATTATATTTATCACAGGCGTCAGTTATTAATGTGTTTAGCTTTGAGGAGTTTTCTGGGCTGCTGTGGGGACTTCTATAGAGGCATCCAATTACCAGAGGGTCGTCGTTGGCTACGCTGATCTTGCACCATACCATTTCTTCAAACTCTGTATTGTCAAAGTCATCTACCCTATCCGCTTTCAGTTTGGTCTTTGTGTACTGTAGAACTCCTCTGCCATGAGTTAATCTGCTGTAATGTACATCATAGTTGTCTAGTTTGAATTCGACTTCATCCAATTCCCCTTTGTTAAACTTTGGCAGGACTTCAGTTACGGCAATGACATCGGCTTCTGTTTCATTAATCAATACATCTAGTTCCAATCGTTTGTTTAAAAGGCTGTCGACATTGGTATATACAATTTTAAGCTCGTCGGTATCTGTGTTATGTACATGTGTGTGCTGAATAAAACTAGTTTCTCATTTTTGGTAGACTTCATCCATAATATAGCTTTCACTGTATATCATGGTCTCTTCATCTGTATTTACTGAATCATTATTAAGGTCCCCACTGTAAGAAATCAGTCTCTTTCTCTCCTGCATAATGGGATGTTTATTTTTACTTCTGGTAGCCAGTGGTGTGCTTGTTGTAGAGGGATTACTCAAGGATGGAGTTTGTATGATACGCTTTGGGTGTTGTATGGGATTCTGTACTTCTTCTGTGGGTCTTGCAGATCGCGCCTCACGTAAGTTTGCATACACAATCTTTCCGCCTCTGATCATGACATTTTCTCCAGTTTCGAGTCTTCTAGTTAATTCACTTCTTAGTTTCTTATAGTCATCACGCTGCTTAGGAGTATAGTCCCTTGACAGTGTCACATTGTTGAACAATCTGTGTTTACTTAAGATGTCCCTTCTATTACGATAGCCATTGAAGATTTCTCTTCGTTCTTTTGAGCTGTTTAGAATAACTTTGATTGGTCTAGTGTGGTTTGTAGCTGGTTTTCCGAATGATAATATACATTATATTATATCTTATACATCTAGTTCAACTGATATTATACATTATATTATATCTTATACATCTAGTTCAACTGATAATATACATTATATTATATCTTATATATCTAGTTCACCTGATAATATACATTATTTTATAACTTATATATCTAGATCACCTGATAATATACAGTATATTATATCTTATACATCTAGTTCAACTGATAATATACATTATATTATATCGAATATATCTAGTTCAACTGATAACTTGAATATCTATTTCAACTGATAATATACATTACTTATATATATATAGTTCAACTGATAGCATACATTATATTCTATATACCTAGTCTACCTGATAATACAATATAACTAATGCACCTAGCTATTTTCCTAATGTTTCAAAGTGGTTCTCACACGAATCCCTGAATTTTGTTGTAATTGTTGCCTTCAGTTCACTATGTTAATGAATTACAATTCCTGTTGTTTTTCTAGACATATAGTTTAATGAAAATATAATTTACCTGTAGTAATTTCATCAAAGTGTGTGTCATTGGCTGATCGTTTAAATCGTTTTTTACTGGCATCTAATATAGTTAATGATAAACATGGTTGAGCCAACATGAATTCTGATATAGAACTAACATGAGCTGTTAAAGTTGACGTATCCTGGTGTACTTGTAAAATATATAAAACCTGTAAAATGAAACCAAGAATATGAAAAGGTTGCTCCCTTATTTTTCTGATATAAATCTGAAATATTTACTATAAACAAAAATAAAAATTGAGAAGGACTTGTAAGAATGCATTTGTGTACTTATATCTGTTGGATTGGCAGGATGGAACTTGGCTCTTCATTACAGTTTGTGATCAGAAGTGTCACTTCACATAATAGCTAACTTGATAAATGATCACTGTTAAAGACTGAATTAAGTTTGTTTTCACCTTTTTATTAATATCAGATAAAGCTAAATAATGACCACTCAAATCAAATGTAGCTTTTAAACTCAATTCTTGGTTTATACTGGGTGGATTTAGAAATCTGTAATAAAAAAAAAAGGTTAATTTCAAAAATTACTCTACTCATCTTTAAAACTGAAAGTGTAAAGTCTTGTTTAATCAACAGGTTTATTGTAGATCACAATTCAAAGTTTCTATAAACTACTTCAACACAAGTTTAGATTTGTTGTCTAATATAATTTTCTAATAGTGCGAATGTTGTCTATATCTAAACTAAGTCACTCTTATAATTTTCATAAACTGAAAACTATACTCCCAAATTAGTACCTGATAGTTTGAAGACAATTCCAAGTTTCACAACTCCAAACTTTTAATTCTTGATTCTTATCAGCACCAGTTATAGCAAATTTCCAAAGCTGAGCACTGAAAAAGCAAGAGATGATTTTATAAAGTGAGTCATTTAAAATAAGATTTTAACAGAATGGATGTTTCATGATTAATCAAGAAAATTAAATTAATCTTTTCAAACTAAACTCATTACATGTTTTGTAAACAGAACACATTATTTCTCTTTCCAAATTGCATCAAATAATCAAGGTACAAATGGGGAGAATTTAATATATGACTGTTTATGACGTCAAAAACTCACTCCATATTGAAATTCTTATGATCATCTAAGAAATGTAAACAAGACAGAGGTTTGCCATCATGTGGTTTCCATTGGTGTAAACATCTGAAATATAATTTAGACAAAAAAATATACTGTCAAAGAATGTGTGTACATTTATACTGCATCCACTTTAAACTATTTTCAACTTTAAAACAATTTGTTTTGAAATTCCACTACATAATCCAAGGCAAGAAATCATAATAAAGCTTACTCTAGCATTTTCATTCTGAATCTAGCTGGTAAAGAGTCTCATAACATTTTACCTGGGTGAAGTACCCTCATAAAGGTACACCTGGAAAAATTTTACTTCACCATTTAAACTAGCAGTAGCTAGAGCTGAACCATCAGGAGAAAAGGCAGCATCAATAATTGGCTAGAATATATATTGAAATAATAATAAATACAATCAAATTATGTCAATCAATTTATATAATGTTTATTCTCCTAAATCTCAAATGATATAAAGAAAATTGAGACTTCAGATAAATTTATACTGTAAAATCAACTGTACTATTAATATCAACTTTATGTAAAAAGTCCGAACCTGATCATGACTATCTATAGATATCATACCAAGATCTATATTTCTAGGATCAATAGGACCACTACCATGTTCTCTAATTATCATATCTATATTCCAGATTTCAGCCTACAATATATTATATTGATTATATAAAAATACAAATACTAACGTATATAAATCCTCCTTTATAAAACTAAAGCAAATCTTTCAAAAAATGAAATTTACTAAATAGTGAAATAAACTGACTATCCATCATTGGCTGAACAAAATTTTATCTTTTTAAATTCCCCATCAGATATCATATCTTGAGTTAGAAAAAAGATGAGAAATTCTTACCCTTTCACTGTGTGTCAAGACTAAAACTTTTGAAGAGTCAATATTTTCTGAGATAGTATCATCTGTATCATCAGGTATATAAGGACACCATATAATACGGTGATATTCACAAGCTACAGTATTATCTGGTCTCTGTATATTCAATATCAGTGTATTTCTATTAGGTGTTCAGGAAATATAAAGAACAATTCTTGATGTAAATAGATTACCTAAAACATCAGATTCAAAACGTAGTCAATTTCCAATTATTCAAAATGCTATGAAAACAAATCTCAAGCCGATTCATTATAGTTGCTTACAAAGGAATTTAACTGCATTTTCATTTCATGACATCCAAAATCAAGCATAACTCAAACCACAAAGTATCACTCGAAAAATAATCATTATATAATAAAGGATACACAGTCTGTCCTTCTATCTCTTGCATTTCATGAACCAATAAGTTTCCAATTTCATCTACAGAGGCTAAAATAACAGCATCTGAATGAGCAAATGCTATATCAACAATTCTTCCACTTGTACATTTTATTAACCATCTTACTGCAGTTTTACGATTAATAATTCGAACATTTCCACCAGTTTTACCTATAGAAGATTGAAATAGATTTCTGTATAATTTTTGTACAGATGAGAAGAAGTTATCTCTTGTTGGTTTTTCTTCATCTGAGAGAAAATAAAATACAATAATTAATAAAAATATCAAATTAAATAGAACAATTCATACCAATGTACATGATCATTCTACAAGACACAAGTGGTTGAAAAGGCTATTGCTCAAGACAAAAAAGATAGCGCATTGAAAAACTTGACTAATGAAAACAGGCTCAAAATCACTTTCACAAAGAAAGTGAGCTCAGGTCAGCCTTGTGACCAATCTAATTAAAATTAGATTACAATTTCATTTCGTTAATATTTTTCATAGGTTTCCACTATAGATCGTCCAAGAATTGTAAACTGATTTTAATCAGATTGTCTTGTAACTGGTTAGATTTTCAACAATTGCTAGCAACTGGTAAAATAGGCTAATGGAGAATCTGATCAATTGTTTCATTAAGACAAGAGCACTGGAAAGTTGTTAATATTCAATACTATATAAAAATGGGTGTGAGTTTCCAAAACCAGTATCAATGACTCTATTGTCAATGTTTCCTATTAACAGTAACTTATGATGGGAATTGATACACATACCTTTAAGAACATAAGCCATAAATACATTGTCTCTATGTACAGCGACTAAGTTACCAATATAATATTTAGGATCCCAATCGAAATTAACTACTGGTGTGATTTTAACCTACAAATGGAGATTAAAGTTCAACCATATTTCACTACTACAATAATTTACAAAATAAGTTTTGTGCACACTGCACTATGTCTAGAACACACGGGTCCATTATTTTTATGTTAACCCGTACTATCTTGCAGTACAACAAGATTAAAATTTTAGACTTCAAAGTAAGTGAAGAAGCAACATATATTTTCTACTTTAAAGAGATATGTTTTAAAAAGCAATGATGTTCATGGTAAGATATGGGTGAATATAATTAAGTGATACCAATACCTTATTACTACCAGCAGAAGACTGGTTAGAACTTGTAAATATATCAACTTCTTTACCATAAACACTAAAACTATTAGCTGCATCATTTCCTTGTAACACTCTTAAATAAAATAACCAAATTCATGTCACAAACAATAAGATCAAATGTAAAGACGTAACATACAGCTTCAATATAGTAGTCTCTAAATTTTGATGCAAGGGTAATAACTCAAATTCCGTTCAGTTAAAAATCATCAAGTTCAAACCAAGATCTAGATGTAATAGATGATCAAACCAAATTTCATTCAAATCAGATGAAAACTGTATCCCTTTAGTGTTCACAAGCAAATTTTGACACGTTTTTTCCAATTCATGGGCTATAACTCAATTCTGGACTGAGGGACTGACAGGGGCAATGACACATCATAATGTGGGCATATAATAATCATGTTAAGATTCATCATATAGATACATGTTGACATGAATCATACATACATTTGTTGTCTAGGAGCTGAATTATACATGGTCTTCATCAACTGGGTCAATGTTTGAGCTCTACTACCTTCACCAGACATTTTCATATCACTGCAAATATAATATAGAGTTTTCAGTTTCTAGACCAATAGAGTGTGAAAAATTAACAGACTTATCATCCTTTTTGATCCAAATCATCTAAACACATTATTTATTTAAGAAAATCTTATATAAATATCAATATTTTATCCATAATATCAAGTGAGGTTGTGCTTGTGAAAGATCAAATTTAAAGGGACATGGGGAATTTCCAGGAGTGAAACATAAATGGTCTCAGAAATGTAATCAGTAGGTTAATAATGTCTACCAGTGTATCCATGAACATACATATGAAAGTTATCTAACATGTAGTCATTATAAGATACTGTTTATTATAAATATCCACTGACGTCATGTGTATACAGTAGACTCAATCGTCTTGTCCCACTTCAACTAGGCACAGCTGTGACAGAAAATGTCTTGGCGTCAGAACAGGGCTTGAAATGTCTACCTATCTACCTGCTGCCGATAGGTATATATTCCACTTAGAAACAAGTAGAAAAAAAAGAGTCTAAATAACTCAGTAACGTATGTGTTTTTATCAGTATATTTAATTTTTCATATTCAGAATGAACATAAATCCATGATCAACATCAACATGAGCAATAGGCCTCGTAATCATGTACCTTCGTTTCGCTTTCTCTGCGAATTGTTTACGTCGGAAGTAGGTCATTTCTGAATAGTCTCGCTTGACCATCACACTGGTGTTCTAATTAATCGAACTGTATGGATGCGTAATTCCCTCTCTGCTATTTGAATTCTGCCTTCAACTGTTATTTTTTCGACACACATGGAAAGTGTTCTGAACTCTGTTCAAACTTGTTTTATTGAACGTCCAGTTGATTCCGGGAATCCTTAACTTGCAGAACACATCAATCGAGTGACCCCCACTTCAAGGTCTAAAATACTGCGCATGTGTCATATTTACCATGAACAAAAAGGTGTTTTAGAAACAACGGAAAGCCAAGAGAATTTCTAGAAGGATTTAATTGTCATGTTAAATTTAATGCATCAGTAATTTTGGTCATATTGTACTCTGGGGAGTAGTCCTGCTAAGATTCGGTACCATATGATATAATTTCAAAGATATATGTTCAATAAAAGTTAGGTAAGAGGACAGGCAAAAAATCTAGGTGACACTGTATGAAGACCTTTTTCCAAACATTTCAAGCCCAGTATCAGAGACTATATCAACAAGGCCTTCAACTCTCTGATGCTTCAATTTCAGAGAAAAGATAAGCTTATGAACGAAATATACAGTTTAACTTCTTGTTTGAGTTCTATTTGAAGGAATTATGCAATTTTCGTACATTTTTGGGTACTTCTTAAGATTATTTACATATTCAAAGCTTAAATCAATTCTGGAAATGCAGCACCTCTCCCTTTAAAGGAGCACCGTCACTATCCGTTTGAACAGTCTTGCCTTCAAATCCATGTGTATCCATAATTATTTGTGTTTGAAAGATAAAAATTCAACTCGAAGTTCAGTGAGACTATGCCATATATAGAAAAAAAATATATAGGAATAGACAGTGAAATTTATAGTTTGAGGCGTTCTAGTACTTCTCAAGACCCAAATCAATCCCGAAAATGCTGACTGTTCCCCTTTACGCTTTATAGTGTACCACCATTGTCAATAAACAGAAATAGTGTGGTTTGGATATAATTATTTTACCTATCAGACGAGTTCTGTAAACCAGGATAACCATCAACTGAGGAGTCTGAAAAAGAAATTTCCGCTAGTAGTGGTAAGATCATCTAAGTTTAGAAGCAACAGTTGATAATTCAAAGTTTTCAACCATAGACATAATAATTAAGGATGAGCATCTTACCGAAACAATTTGTCAACCATAGACATAATAATTAATGATGAGCATCTTACCAAAACAATTTGTCAAGAAAATAGCATCCATAGAAAGTAAGGTGGAATAACTTGAAGTGACCGACAAAATGTAATTTCGAATACAAAAACTGGTACGGTCTGACTTTACTGAGCTTTGAATTGAATATTTTCTTTTATTTCATAAACATTCAAAATAATATTTTCCACTTTATGCCATTTGTCCTAGAATGTCTTTGAGTCCATGGAAATACAAGGTTCAGAGAAATTACATTTTGTAGTTGATATTTCAGTTCATTTGAAAATGATTGCCTACAGAAAGCAGTGTAGCATGAGAGTAGATCTACCGGTACTTTCTAGTGATGTGGTAGTCAGGATTGCACAGTGATGTCAATGCATGAAACATTATTAGAGAGGGTGACTCGATGGTTGCATGTTAGGAGCTCAGTGCTGGGAGTAATTGTAGAAAAGAAAATGTACCAACCATTAGATTGGTTTAATTGAACATTCAACTCTCGCATGAGCCGACTTGCATCGGACGTGTTTAGAGTAGATTTACTCGTGTCGCGGCCGTCCATTTCCCTTAAATGTATGTTTAAAGATAGGGAAAAAGATTTTTAGTAAAGGAGGGTCAAAAGATATTCTTGTATGTATGTTATCGTGGTAAATGAACAGTTTTTGACATAATTCACATGTTGACCGGCAAATTTTCTTCTGAAAATGGCGGCTTCCGTTTTACAAAAGCACCTGCGCAATTAATCCGAAATGTTTCGACTTCACAAAGATATTATTCTTAATCCGAAAGTTGTCCTTAAAGCTGACATGAAACAGTGTTTGAAAAATTCCTGTTAACAGTAATTAATGAGTTAAAACTCTTATTCTGGAAAAATAATAAATGTAAATTTATTTTTATTTATTTATATCAATAACAATGAATTTTCACGCTTTTCCATCAACAAACACACATAAATAGCTCTGGTAGGCGTCTATACTTTTTTTGCAAATTTGACTAAGTAATAGTATTCAATGGCATAAAAAAGTTTATAGGTCAGCTACCTACGGATTTATTTCAAGGTTGAAGATGCCTACCACCCACGCTGGAGTTAAAATTTTTCCGTTTTAAAACATATTATAATACTGTCAAATGGGTGAATAGCCTAGCCTACTTTTCAAGCCTTGGTTATTGGTTTTAATCTTTTATCATTAGGCCTATAGTCTGAACATCTGCATCCAACTCTGATAGCCATTTTGACAGTTGTCGGCTACATATAGGGTTAAAAAAAAAAGCTTGTTTTATGGGATTTTTCCACACCTCCGAAAGTGCTGGAATTTAACACATTCATTCATTGAAACCAGCACACTCCTATTTATTCGGAAAGATAAATAGTCCTGTAGTTCAGTGATACCATCAATATCCCCTACATCATTTCTTAATGATGGTTTTCCATATTTTTCAGTGTTAAATTAAGAAAACTATTTAATTAACTGGTGTTTCTAATGAATTAGGCTATCATGTATTTTTCATATTATTATGTTCTTATTGCATATAATTAAACCAATCATAAATATCCATGTATGTACGTACAGTCTTGATAAACAAAAACATAAGTTTTGACCATTCTTGAACAGTCACTCATTGGAACTCTGCTAGTAATTATCTTCTAATTTAGCTAATTATGCATTAATTAAGGACATGTGAGACAAACTTATGTTTTGTAAGTCATTAGAACACCTCTACTTTCTATTCATATAAGTATATTAGCATTTTCATTTTCATAAATGAAAATAAGGGAACTCATCTTTAAGAACTAAACTAATCTCTTATCGGCCTGCATACGCATTTTAATGTGCTGAAACACGAGCGAGTGAAATGAGAATTTAACTCATAGAAAGCACGGGCCTAGGCCCGAAGCAAGGACTATTCATTTACAAGTGCTTGTTAGCTTTGTTAGTTTTAACAATGATGACAAAATTCTTTGGTGGTACCGAATTGTCCTGTGCTATAATAAAGAAAAAGCTGCTTTGTATAAATATGTTCTTTTACCCACTCGGCTTACTGTCGTACCAGATACCAAAAGATAATTTTTTCCATTAAAATCAAAGTCATTTCACGTTAAACATATTTCTAAGAGTTATTAAATGTCCTTGTCAGATCTTTCCGCGCATGGATTATATTCAAAGGCTTTTCGGACTGCGTTTAAACCGGTATTTTGTTATCGATATTTGTATACAATGAAGTAACGCCCAATGTAATGAACACGGCATTAGGAGGTACGTTTAATATTTTCATTTTTTCAACAAAGTCGGTAGTATCTTTCAGGTAAGAAGGATGTTTGCATGCAAATGGTAATGATAAAAAATGGCCAATGTATGCGCAAACTCTGCAAGATTCACTAACACAATCTGAAGAGATTGGTCGTCCCTTTGGAATTTTATCCACTTTCCGGATTCTTGTTGTTTTTTTGGTAAAGTATACAAATGACGTTGTCGAATATTAATTTGCCTGTAGTAGGCCTAAAGGAAAAAAATATAGCCCGGAGACTTTTGTCGCCGATTAGAGTCTTGTCTTGACACGGGCACACGAGAAGACAAAAATCCCCAGTAGGTCGTTTTCCATTTTCGATAATCTCGTGCGGTACATGCAATTGAAAGGAAAAGGAAAATGATTGGATAATGACGGCCTGTCTTACAGGCCATAAAACTATCGGAGACAATTTTCAAACTTGTTTGATATTATAAATCCTATCGCCGACGCGATAATCTTGCGTGGAAGGACGGGCACACGCAAGGTTTTTACTAAGATTCGAGTTGAGACAAAAATCTACGACCAAGACCGCTCGTGTTCCCGCATCTTTAGGATTAAGGGTCACGTGATACTAACAATACGAAACTACCTCAGCATTTTGGTTTGGTAGATGCGAGGTGAATAAATATAGGCCTATGTCTAAGAAAACCTCTTCTGGTTTTTTCTCACCTTACTCCAGCCAACAACTTTTACAATTGCTATCAGAGGTTTGAATGAAGGCAGATGTTGCAGATCATCCAAATTGATAAATAACTGGCAAATTTCCATTCTCAAGTGGTCGGAGAGCAATCCAATTTAATGTACACGAACTTAAGTTTGAGGACATTGTGCCAATGTAAATTGGAAATCGATGTGCAAATAAGAAACTTGTCACTTAGAATTTCTGTGTTTTTGGGGGGTGGGGGTGGGGTTGCCACCTTAGAACCCATTCAAAGAGTGTTGATGGCGATATTCACATATTTGGGCGAATGGAATTCACATTGAGGGTTATGTGAAAATTGTGATCATTTATAGATATGTCCCAAGAGCGCTGTTCTTGAAATCAACGTCTAATTTCCGTCTTAACATAAATTAATGATAATAGAAGAAAATATTTGTTCATAAATCATGGCCCCAGTACGCTTATACGTACACGCCTAATTTTTAATAATTATTCCAATCCATATCTGTGTAATATATTCCTTATTGAATTTTTATCATAATTTGAAGGTATCTATAAAGATGTGCATGTATTGGCACATGAAAAGAGATATCCAGTCCTGTTTTGTCAGAGACCAGAAAAGGAACAACAGAAAAGCAAAATAATTTTACAATTTTATTTACTTTTCTATATTTACATATTTTTTTATTCATACACCTTTTTTAATGATCATTTTTTTTTTAAATTCTTGTAATTTTTTTTGTCAGATAAAATTGAAAAGGAGCTGAAATAAAAAGATAATGATTAGTGACAAAACTAAGGCAAGACAAGACCTTTTTTAAACAATCATGCTTTAAACCCATCAAATAATTTAGGTTCCCTCTTCCCTCTCCCAAGTTACTACAAATATTTTTCTAAGCCCTCCCCTAAAAAAGACTAGAATTTTTTTTGTTGCCATAGATACTGGTTTAAATGTAAAAAATGTCATTTTTAGAAATGACTCAATGTAATGGATTATCATAATACATGTATATGATTTTTATGACTTCATTTTTACTCAACCAATAAATTGGTTAAAATCTAAAATATTGTACATGCGACATCTTGTTATGTGATGAATTGGATTGTGAATGAATAATAAAATCATGGATAAACAAATATAAAATTGTAACAACTTTTAAAATGGCAACATTTTAGTCAATATTTTGGTTTTCTGCATTTAGGTATTGTGTAGTATTCTTTTAGGTTTTACCCATTTTGAAATAGTGTTTTCAAGAACGCACAAAATAGGTAAATTGGGTAAACTATAAAAATGACCTGACTGGATTCAATATGGAGAATAATAAGCCACCCTTCTAGTTCTTCTGAAACATAAAAAATAACGGTCAATCAACGTGAACACTTGTTTCAAATAGCAACATTCACATATCTTAGAAGGAAATCAACTTAAGTGACCATAGCTGCCACCACAGGAATATTAGCAAATTAACATATGCAATATTATGCTGATTGAAATTTTGTTAAGAACAGTCGACTTTCAATCAGAAAATATTTCTACCAGTGCAACATTACAAAATAAAGTCAAGACACAACCTTTTTTTACCTATTTAATAGAATGTTTCATAAAAAAAAGGTGATAGTGTAACAGAGTCAATGATGTTTTTACTGAGTCCATCAATAAATCTTTAATGACAGCATTATGGTATAACTTATACTTACGGAAATCTAGGTCTCCGAGAGGGAAAACCACCAAATCTACCTCTACCTCGTGCTCTTCTAGGTGGACGATTTGTTGAACTTATACCAGGTCTGTTGGTTCTTTTGGGGCTTACCTGAAAATCAACAATCATAAAATTATTACTTTTCTTCTCAGTGATTCTTAATAGATTAACACTTAAAAGATTACAGATTTTGAGGGTTACGATGCCAATACTGTGAAATGAATTAACTTGCACCTCACAGGACTATCATAGATAAATATAATTTCTCTATTTATTTAATTAAAAAGCAAAGCTACAGTCTTTGATAAAAAAAAAAAACCTGGCATTTAGCTGGGAACTAAAAATCTGAAAGTTATCGAACTATCATCTCTAACTTCACAGAAACAAGCTACCAAAAACAGTCTAGCAACTAAAATATGTCATCATGTTTAACCTTTACCTTAATTTGTCTTCCCCTAAATAGAGAATCATCTAATGCCATTGCAGTTGTTATAGAATCTTTGTCAGCAAATTCAACATAGGCAAATCTGTAAGAAAACATGATAGGCAAATCTGTAAGAAAACATCATATATCAATGTCAGGCAATCATTCTTCAACCTATCATCTTTAAGCATTTAGTTTGAGACTTGAATTTGGACTAAAAAAGTTTGTGGCTGGCGTCACCAAAATACTTATACAATATAATACTTAAAAAATTGAGAAATATATTAATATAAATAATTGACACTTAACAACAAAGTGTTTCTTTTGATCTATTTCCTCATATTGTAATACATATTTTATTGTAGCCTTGAGCCTATTGTGGGAACCCAGGGCCCACCAGTCTAATTTTGGTCTTAAATCTGAGATTTGGAATTAAGACCCGAGTTTTGCTTAAATTTAGAATCAAGAAAAAACTTAAGTCAAGACTTAAAGACATTTTGCTTAAATATATAAGACAGGTAAGAGGCTGTCTTAAGTCCAAAAAGAACAAAGATGGATGATATACTTGAATACAATACCGCCTGCAAAGAAGAAATGACTGTTACACATTTATTACAGGGTAAATTATTTCTTTACAAAAGATAAGGCAAGGTAATATATGCCCACTGGCAGCTTTGATTTTGAATAAAAATATTTAGCAGTACAGTAACAATCACCAAAATGAAATATTCAACCTTCAGTCATACACTTCTTTTGAACTCTTCAGGGCGATACTGAATAATATTGAGTATGAGTTATTACCCTTGTTCTTGAAAACGTGTTCAATCTTTAGCTCGTGAAATTTCTAGAAGACAAATATTCAATTTTCAGTGCGGTACTGAATAAATAAAGTTTTGTCAAAATCCAGCAAGAATCATGCCTTCTAGAGTTTTTACGAGCCACAAATTGAACGTGTTTTCAAGAACAAGGGCAATAACTCATACTAAATATTTTTTGATTTTTTTTTATTTTTAATAGGCTTTATCCTTTGGTGATAACAAACACACACACCAAGTTTCGCCAAAACCGTCAAGAATTGTGCCTTCTAGAGTGTTCACAAGCTAAAAATTGAACGCGTTTTCAAGAACAAGGGCAATAACTCATACTAAATATTTTTCTGATTTTCAATAGGGTTTATCCATGGGTGATAACCAACACTCACACCAAGTTTCGTCAAAATCCATCAAGAATTGTGCTTTCTAGAGTGTTTACAAGCTAAAATTGAATGCATTTTCAAGAACAAGGGCAATAACTCATACTATTTATTTTTCGATCTTTCTGATTTTAAATAGGGTTCATTCTTTGGTGATTATAAACACTCACACCAAGTTTCATCAAAATCCTTCATGAATTGTACCTTCTAGAGTGTTTACAAGCGTTTCAAGAACAAGGGCAATAACTCATACCGGTACTAAATATTTTTCAATTTTTCTGATTTTCAATAGGGTTCATTCTTGGGTGATTACAAACATCCATACTAAGTTTCGTCTAAAAGTCAAGAATTGAGCCTTGACGAGTGTTTACGAGCAATTGTGGACGGACGGAACAACGGACATGGGTGACGGCAATATACGCCCCCCCATTTCATGTGGGCGTATAAAAAATGGTAATAATGCAGAGGCATGATAGCCTTACCACATATCCGCAAATATAGAACATTATAACTTAGATCTAGTTCTTCAGAAAATTGTGTATTTTTACATTTTTCCAGATTTATATTTTCTCTATATGCCTAGTTTTATCTAATAAATGACCAAAACCACGAAGGCAGGCACTAAAAATATTAATATAGATTTATATGCCAATATTTTACATTATGACAAGACACTACTTTAGTCATTTTTAGAAGCCAAATGACAAATAGAAGCTGATGTAACGTCATAAAAGTGCATGTTACATCATATCACAAGATGCATACATTACAAAAATAGACTAAAGTCATTGCTTAGCTATGATTTGCTTAACTTGTTTAGCTGAGACAAATGACAATTCTTAAAACCTAAACTTGGACTTAAGTTTTTTTCTTGATCCTGGGCCAAGGAGTTTGTGGTGTAACCACATTAAAATGTGGATGTCTAAAACTAGCCAGGAATAATTACCCTTTGGGATGTCCAGTAAATTTATCACATAATATAGTAACCCTGTTAATTGAACCACACCCATGAAAATGTTGTTCCAACTCTTCAGCTGTTGCAGCATAGTCTACCTACAACATAGAACAACATAACATAATTATATAGTATCTTAAGAATCACCTTATCGCAATAATCAAACACTAAACATCACAAGCTTACTATCTAAAAATGTACGTTTATGTGTCCAAAACTAGATTTTTGATGTATCATTAGATGTTTTGTGAAATGTTGCTGTGAGACATAGATCTATGCAATTAAAATACATGAACCATTATTTACTTTAACATTGAAAAGAAATAAAACTTACATTTCCCACATAAACTGATTTTGAATCTGCATCAACTTTTTCTTCAATGGTAGGGAAGGCTGCTGAAATAAAAGGATATACACACATAAGGTATAGGTTAATCAAACCACACAGGTATGCAATTATTTTTCCCTTAAAATCTGATACATTTATTGGCTACTATTTTATCAATCCTTTGGCTCTTTAAACAAAATGATTTTCCCATTGGAATGTTTGGAATTGTCATAAACAAAAAGTATGGGTGTCATTCTAAAAATTCTAGCAAATAAGTTGTACACAAAGGTCATTCGCTATATAATTCTACAAAACTTAAGTTGAACTTACAAACACTAGAGGAAGACATATTCATTTGTTTCTCAACCTCACTTTGCATCTCCTTTAATTTTTCAGCCTCTTCTTCCATTTCTTTTACTCTGGCTTTGATAGCCTCCAATTCCTGTAATTATTCATAACAAGTCTATGGTGATAGTAGTCCTACTATAATCAGTCAAGACATTTGGCTCCTAAACTGGAGCCAATACATAATGTACTACCAAAGGAAGTTTTTAAGCTTCAGATCAGGTGCTTGCCTGGCCATATTCAGACTCTACACATGACAAGACTCTGAACATTTTTTTCAGTTTATCGATGTTTAAACAGAAAAAACCTGTTCATGAACTGATACATCTGTTTTCTGTTTATACATCGATAAACTGAAAAAATGTTCAGGTCATTCCTTAAGTACACAATTTGATGACTTGATAAATCATATAACCTGATGAAGTAAGGGGAGGCATAAGCTATATAGGTTTGCGCAACAAGACAAAAAACCTTTTCTTCTAAATAACAGGGTATAAAATAAATGAAAGGGAACATGGTCTATTTAGGTCTATTATTGATACCAAACGTTTACTTCCTTAATTTTGTAAATTGTTTTGTTAATTTGTGAATGGTAATGAATTCAATGAAGAGGATGCAAATTGAACTGGAATAACTGCAAAAAATACAAATAAACAGAAAGAAGACTGTCGAGATAAAATAAATTAAATTAATAAAAGGGTAATAAAAACACACTGGATCTTCAACTCCCATATCTTCTCCTGTCGTTATTGACGTGTCAACTTCTGTCGTTTCTTGGTCAAACTGTTCATTTTCCTCTTCTTGAAAACTTTCGTTTTCTAAATCAGCCATATTACCAAAAATACAGATTCTGTAAGAAAAATTGACTGCGTACAATCAAATTAAAAAATTCACTTAAGGATGGAGAAAAACTATATTATAGGTAGATGTGTTCTCAGATTAGGATGGTGATGGATTCTTTGTTCTCGACAAATAATATTTAGAGTAATGGAAACCAAAGTAAATCAACATCCGGTTTATGGAGCAAAGTTACTTCCCTTTCTCATTAAGGTGTCCGCTATTAATAAACTAAGATTCTGATTAGCAAGTCCACCGTGAATGTTCTGCAACATATTACAATATATCTAACGTAGCCAACATCAATAAGCAGATTGTCACATTAACATGGCATACTTTTGGTGGGTTATGGCACCAAACTGTCCCTAATTTTGTCAAAATGATTCCACGAAAAGCGATCGATTAAGACAATGAGTTTTAATCCATTCTCTTTTAAAAAAAAAGTAATCTACTTCAGATCTGGCCAAACTTCTAAAAGTCTTACATGGATGCTCATACATACCAAGACCCATACTTGCTACAGAGGAATTTTCTGTGGTCACTTTTATTAGTTTCGGCATTATCACGTTTAATGCAACACGTCGAATAAACCATTTCAAGACTATTATATAATGAATTTCGTGCTAAGAGGGTATAAAACAAACCGTGCGAAAAGTAAAATTAAATTTAATAAAATTGGATATAGGGCCATTCATTATTAATAGATGTGGGCTAACAAAACTGCATTATTTATCAATATCAGTTTACCGGAAGTCAATTTTCTGAAAATATCCGAAAAGGCTTCGGTTTAAGAAAAACAATTAATTTATATAGATTAATACGGGTCGTCAATGTTTGATAACGTATCATTATTGAGAGTTATTGTAAAGACGATAACAATGTCTGAATAAGATACACTGAAGCACAGACTCAGAAATATACAAAGGTCTACGAATTCACATTCGGTTTTCAAAATAGTCTTCATAAGCTAAATGAAATCAAATTAATTTTTCTAAATTGACATCTTTTATAATGAATCTCAAAACAACACAATGTAGTAGGTTTTGGAATCCAGTTTAATGAAAGGATACAATTAAAAGACAATTGAGCCTGTCGATCGATACAAGTTTCTGCATGACAATCGAGTCTATATTATAATTTTGTCGTCTATCACTAGTTGTTTGCTTTTCAGTTCTTTCTTTAACTTCGCTGAGATGAGCATTGAAGTTCAAAAGACATAAGGGAATATACTCTTGTGTATAAGAGTTTTAAATGTTAATAAAAGACTACATAATTATTTTTTCTTCCATTGTAATTCCTGGTAAGTATTTTTTTTCTCTTTCAATTTTTTTCAATTTCACCGAAATGGAAGAGAAGTTTTTTTTCAAATGATACCTTATCAAATTATTATAGGTATCAGATGTGTTTTTTTTAAATATTGTGTTATTGGTATTATGTGTCGGTTTTGGCTATGTTATGTTTAAATGGATAAACCATATAATTATTTAATTGTCAACTTTATTAGATATCAATTTATATACACACGTCGTTTTTTTGTTGTTATGTAAATACAAACGTACCATTATTAAGAAACCCACATAGCCAGTACATAGACGTATATTGGTACAACTAATGTATGTCCGCCTGTTTCCTTGTAAACAACTGGTAGGTAAAGGTATGAAATGAAAATCAAATTTTTTTTTTTTTTTTGGTGATAAAAGCGAGGTCATTGTCTTTGTAACAAGAAGGTACATTATAAATATTAAAATTGTCGTAAATTTTGAAATTAAAAACAGAATTATAGTCACCCTTGAAACCGCAGATGCTCTTTTTGCGTTCAACCGATTATCAAGGGTAGATTTGGATCTTGAATATATTTAAATAGTCGCCAAAAGCATTAAAACCACACGAACATCATGTTATCCCTTCAAACATACATCAAACTAGAAATTTCCCTTCCTATTTCTATATATGTCTATACATGGCTGAGTCTCAGGAAAAGACAAGTGGTCATTTTATATTTAAACGCGGATAATTCTCGACACATGAATTTGATTGTTAACATTTAGACGCTGTGAACACTTTTACTAATTAGTTTAGCTAAAAATAATCTCGCTTAATATAAGGCCCGATTTGATTTAAACAGTAGTTGTCAAAAGGATGACGAATCTGTCTCTTTAAACTTTATATGTATCCATACTGTTCAAGATAATTTGGGCGTTTTATTTTTTAATTTGGTGTTGTTTTGTTTGTTTCTCATTTTACAAAGCGCCTGCCGATGTTGGTGCTCCTGTCGTCAGTTGGTTCGTTAGTTACTTATGGTCAGTAGATGGTTAGTTTCCTATCGTCAGACGGTAGTTCTATTACTATCGTCATTTGATGGTAAGTTTCCCAACCTCAGACGGTAGTTAGATTACAATCGTTAGTTATTTCTTATATACCGTCAGTAGGTGGGTAGATGACTGTCGTCAGTAGATGGATAGATGACTATCGACAGAAGATGGTTAGTTTCCTATCGACAGTATGGTTAGCCTATATTACTATCGTCAGTAGGTGGTTACTTTCCTATCGACAGTAGGTTATATTACTATCGCCAGTAGGTGGTTAGTCTCCTATCGCCAGTCGGTAGTTAGATTACTATAGTCAGCTGATGGTTAGTTTTCTATGGTTAGTATAGGTGATTAGATTACTATGGTCAGAATATTGGTTAGTTTTTTGTCTTTAGTTGGCTGATTTCTACTGTCTGTAGAATAGGTAGTTAGATGCGAATCGTCGATAGAGTGGAGAGTTCCCTATCGTCAGTGATTGGCATTTTTGTATCGTCAAAAGGTAATTGTTTTCCTATCTTGAGTAGCCATATATAGCCCTAGATAGTTAGACGCGAATCGAAGATAGGTTGGTTATTTTTGAGTACCTTTCATGGGATAGTAGGAAAAAATCTATAGCGAGGTGAGGCATTGGTAACTTGTCTGCAATCTCAACCATGTATGAAAGGTTATCGATTAGTCCAGCGCAGGGTTACCTCCCTTGATGTATCATTTTCGATTAAAAAATATTAAAGATTGGTTCCTTTATTTTCATTTATAAAAATGAAAATGCTAACACTTAAACGAATAGAAAGTAGAGGTGTTCTAATGACCTGGAAAAATACCAGTTTGTCTTATGTCCATAATTAATTCATAATTAGCTAAATTAGAAGAGAATTACCAGCAGAATTCCAGTGAGTGGCCGATCAAGAAAGGTCAAAAAGTCTTTTTTTTGTGTATCCAGACTGTACATACATGGACATTTATGATTGGTTAAAAATCTTAATTATATGCAATAATAAAATAATGATATGATTAAGAATACTTGATAATTCATTAGAAACACCAATTAATCAAATAGTTAGCTTAATTCATAATGATATGATTAAGAATACTTGATAATTCATTAGAAACACCAATTAATCAAATAGTTAGCTTAATTCATAATGATATGATTAAGAATACTTGATAATTCATTAGAAACACCAATTAATCAAATAGTTAGCTTAATTCATAATGATATGATTAAGAATACTTGATAATTCATTAGAAACACCAATTAATCAAATAGTTAGCTTAATTCATAATGATATGATTAAGAATACTTGATAATTCATTAGAAACACCAATTAATCAAATAGTTAGCTTAATTCATAATGATATGATTGAGAATACTTGATAATTCATTAGAAACACCAATTAATCAAATAGTTAGCTTGATTCATAATGATATGATTAAGAATACTTGATAATTCATTAGAAACACCAATTAATCAAATAGTTAGCTTAATTCATAATGATATGATTAAGAATACTTGATAATTCATTAGAAACACCAATTAATCAAATAGTTAGCTTAATTCATAATGATATGATTAAGAATACTTGATAATTCATTAGAAACACCAATTAATCAAATAGTTAGCTTAATTCATAATGATATGATTGAGAATACTTGATAATTCATTAGAAACACCAATTAATCAAATAGTTAGCTTAATTCATAATGATATGATTAAGAATACTTGATAATTCATTAGAAACACCAATTAATCAAATAGTTAGCTTAATTCATAATGATATGATTAAGAATACTTGATAATTCATTAGAAACACCAATTAATCAAATAGTTAGCTTAATTCATAATGATATGATTAGGAATACTTGATAATTCATTAGAAACACCAATTAATCAAATAGTTAGCTTAATTCATAATGATATGATTAAGAATACTTGATAATTCATTAGAAACA